TCACAACAATTTTTTAAAGAAACAATGAGATTGACAATAATTATGGTTTTAAAACAATACCAAGCATTAAATTAACACACAAATGTTGAGAAAAATACGAAGAGCAGAGAGAGAGAGAGAGAGAGAGAGAGAGAGAGATCGTAAATAATACTTCAGCCAAGAATGATCTCAACTCCTACTCAAATCACAAGCAGATAAAGAAAAATGATATCAACATATATTCCTATTAAATTATAGTAACATATCAATAAAACACCAGAAAAAATCAACATAACAACAATACCATAGTAATACAAAAGCAATACCACTACAATACAACTGCAATAAAATCACAATACGATTGCAATAGCAAATCAACAATGCTACCTCACTATGATATAATTATAAGTTCATAGAAAATCCCAATACCAAATGCAAGAATCAATTGACAAAGAACAACACATTTATTGTTTCAGACAAACAAAATCAATCTCAATTCTTCACTTTCTACACAAAATACAAACGAAATCAATCAGAATTCCAATTTCAGTAATCAAATTCAATTTAACATCAAAACTTATATATTCCAAACAATTCATTTTCTGGAGAAGTTGTTCTTGAAGAGGGCATGTAAACCCATACTTCAAAACCCCCCAAAATTGGACCAAAATGCTCAAACAATGGCCACCTAATGCCAAGACATGCTGTCATATTCATAAAAGATGGTTTTGTTTGGGTTTGTTTAGGTTGCAGAAGGGATTCAAAGAGAGACGAATTTGGGGGTTGGATTTGGGTAGAGAAGAAAACAAAGAGGAAGAGGAAGAACTGGGTTTTGAGGGCAAAGTTGTGGGTTTTGTAGGTTGTTCTTGATCTTCTTCTTCGTGAGAAGAGGCGTAGTTAGCTAGAGAGAGAGAGAGAGAGAGAGAGAGAGAGCACAAAGAGTGAACTAAATTTCAGAGAAAAGTGATATCTGTGCAATAAGTGGACAATAACTAAATATTTATAGGTGATAGTTGCAAAAAAAATTGGGGAGATGTGGTATTTTCAGAAAAAAAAAAATTATAAAAAGGGTGGCATTTAGAGCTATTTCCCAAGAAACTAGTCACCCTTCTCCTTTCTCGTCACCCAATCTCCTACACCAGATTGCCCACAAGGTGTGTACATGGTGTGTGGCTGAGGGTTGAGGGCCTGTGTAGATCTCGTTGTTGGGTTACTTTTTTTAATTTTAAGTTTTTATATATTTGATTTTAAAATTTTTAATTAATTTAAACAATAAAAGTATTTTTTTAATTATTTTTTGTCCATGTGGAAGTCCATGTTATTAAAAAAAGGGGTCCTACTTTTGACACACAAGCATTTAACAGATTCACTAATGATTTAGATAACATAAGGGGTAAAATTGTAGGTTTTCTGAAAGTTTGATAATGTAATTGTAAATATCCCCAAAAATGGGTATGAACTTAAAAATGACCCCATAGTTTGGGTTTTTTTTTGTTTGTTTGTAATTTGTCCTATATAAAACATATAAATAAAACTGAAAAGACAACAGGAAAAAGAGAGATATGGGTGGAGTCGGGAGTAAAAAGAGGAATGTGCCTGGAGTGGAGAGTAACTGCTTCTATATAATTACTTAGGTGGATTTTTTATTTTATAATTTAGTAAATTAAACTTGTACGAGTTTGCCTTAATTATATATATATTTTTTAAAGAATGAAATTTTTATTACATATAACAATAAAATACATAAGTAGTCAAGATGACCACAAAAGAAGGCTAAAACATAAGTATACCAACTACACGAAAACCATATCCCCAAACTTCTAGCATACAGAAAAATCTAAAAAAAACTAACCTGCCTGGAAAAATTAGTGGATGGCTACTTTCCAATATAAACAAATAATCCTAAAAGATAAATCTCTAAAGTTTGTAGAAATTGATGCCCATAGTATAGACCATTGCCTAACTTTCTCCCATAACTCCTCTCTATCTCAACGTACATGGTCTTCGAAAATCAATATGTTTTGCTCCAACTAAATCACCCAAAAACTAGTCATTACAATGCAATTATGCAAAACCTTGGTTTCTTTCCTTTTCCTCGAGGTTTATGCTTCTCAAAAAACAAGGAAAAACAGTCTCTCTCGATACAACCCAACTAATCTCGAACTCCTTAAACACTTGCAAACACAAACTCAAAGTCATTGGACAATGTAGGAACAGATGATCCACTGTTTCTAAACTTCTCTTACAATAAATGCACCAATGTAGGAATTGGGTCTCCTTCAATGAATCATGTCACAAGTCTTAAACTTTTGTTTCTGTAACATCCCATCTTGAAATTTAAATTAATTTTAAAAATTCTAAAGTGAAATGATGACTTTAACCTTAGGGTTCCTTGGTGGTTTAGAGTTATTTTTTTTTCTCAAGGCTTATTTTGGAGTTTTTCTTGATTCCTTTTGCGTAGTGCTCGAGCTCACGAGTTCGTAGACACATGGTGGGCCCAAATTAGAGTTGAAACGAAGAAGTTATGATCTACGAAAGTGTAGTGGCACAACTGTAACTTTTGTGAAGTTAAAAATTTAAAAGCTGGCATCTCTCTCTCTCTCTCTCTCTCTCTCTCTCTCTCTTTTCTCTCTCCTCTCTCGTGACTTCTGTCTCTCCCACTTAGCGACACCGTCGCTTTGACCAGAGATTTCGTTGCCATCCAGTGATCGTTTCAGGCGAGATTGGTCCCAAAATCTTCGTCTCTTTGTCCTCTACCTAACCCACCCCTTTTCCCAACTCAAAAGCCCAAGGAATTTCAGCTGGAACTACTGGAAGTGTCGTCAATTTTCAAAGCTTCCAACGCCTTTTTCGGTGACTCCGGCCACCGTTTCCGTCTAGTGAGGTATGATTCTTCATCCATTTTCCATGCTCTAGCTATTTATGTGAATGGTTTGGATTGATTTTGGAGTTTTAAAAGTCAATCAAAATACCCATTTTAGGCCATTTTCCATGATCTATCTATAGTCGAAAAATCTCTCAAGCCACTCATCGCTATCGACTACGAATGGCGGCCCATTATGTTATGAAATACTCCCCACGTCGTCTCGAGCACAACAATATGGTCGGATTTGAAGATGATTATCATTTGACTATCGAACAGATATTGCACCTATTGAGCAATATTCGGATTCGATAGGTTCATACCTTTAAATGGGTTCCAATTTTACTTATGTTGTTCCCTGGACCTGTAGGATCGTGTAGGAACTTAAAAAATCGATAATCGGAGTTCCGGATACTCCAAGTCAATGATTCTAGTGTTAGGCGAACCAATCGTCTTCTGATCATGTGATTCGCTTAGATTCGACCACTCGATCGAGACCAAACTTTTGAGACTTGTTTAGTAGACTTTGTTGGACTTATAGGAACTTTCGAATAAGAAATCGGATGTCGTGGGCCCCGCAAGCCTAATTGACCTAGATGGTGGGCCTCGCTGGCCCGATTGGGACCTTTTGGTTATGAGGTGTTAGTGGTTTTGTTGTTTGATTTTAAATTGGTATTTTCCTAGGAGAGGTTTATTAACTGTTTATGAATTATTGTTCTATCGCTTTTACTTTTCGAGCATGATATATCTATGTATATTTTTATATATGTGTTAAATTGTTTAAAATTGGATTGTGTTGCTTTCAGAAATATTGTTGCCTTCGGAGATATTGATGTCTTCGAACATCTCAATTGCCTTCGGAAATATGGTTGCCTTCGCAGATATTGATGTCTTCGAACATCCAGGTTGCCTTCAGACATATGGTTGCCTTTGAAATGTCTACGGACGTACAGTTGCCTTCAAAATGCATTCGGACATGCAATTGCCTTCAGAATATTTTCGGACATATGGTTGCCTTCGGATGTACATAAATAAGCCATGAAAATTTGATAATGTGGCAAATCCCACCTCATTTGGGACTCAAATTTGTGATTTAAATTTTGGTGTCTTGGCATTATTGAATTTGTTAAGAATAAAAAGGTGAAATGAAAAGTGAAAAAACTTAAAGAAAAAAGATGAGCATGGATTATCATCAGAGAACCACCACCCGCGTCTCCTTCCCACTCCGCCCAAATTTCCCCTCCAAAGCCAGACAGAATTAAAATAAATAAAAACAAAGGAAAAAGAAAAGAATTATAATTCGCATGACAATACAACACTTTTCAGGTTCTCATTTTTTTTCTTCTCTCCTTTTCGCCTGTTCTCTGTTGATTTTGAGTTGAACTGGATACATTTGATGCTGATTTGTCATTCTGTCATTTGCGTTTTCTCTTCTGAGCTTCATTTGGGATTATTGCATTTTCACTGCAACAACGTGATTATACTTCCAGTTGCTGAAAATGTTGGGTGTTCAGCTTTGAATTTTTTCATCTGGTTACTTATGCTTTACAAAGAGCAGTTGGTGAGCATTTGGAACCTTTATGCTCTCTGTTCTAAACTCAGCAGTATGTTGCATTAGGTTAGAACTCTATATATGGTGATTTTCTTCTAGTGCCTATGTTCACTTTTATAAACTTTTTTTATCTGTATGATTCAAACGTTTGCTTGATGTGGGTATTTCTGTATGATTCTAAGTTCTACGATTTTTATGTTTGATTCGAACTTTTATCTGCATCTTGCTGCAATTGGATTTGATTGTGTTCTAACTTTCTTGAAATTAATTAAGCTTTGATTTCAATTTTTAGGGCAAAAGTCAATCCTATTTAACTCAGAAAATTCAATGAGGAAACCTCGCAGCAGAATTTCCACATCAAGCAAAATAACGTTTGAAGAACCCGAATCTTTGTTTTCTTCCGAAGTTGTAAGTAATCAAAATAAAATTTCTTTATTATGATTGTAGTTATTATTGTTGCTTACTTTCAAGCAATATGGACCGCCAACAAAAAGAAGTTGAACCCTTTATTTAAATGAGAATTGAACATTTTATTTTGCCAATTTGTTTTCCGTTTATTCCTTTCTTCAAATTCTTAATGCAGAGAGACAGACTGAGACAGAGAAGATGAAGCTGGCCATGGCGTCTGTTCTGCTAGTATTGTTATCGCTACTCATCCGTTCAAATGCCAAAGAAGAAGCCTTCGATGTACGCCAACACCTTTCTACTGTGTCCAGGTTTTTCTTTCACAAAATCAAAATTTCCCATTAATTGGATTAGGAATTTATTACATTTTTATATTGTTATTTTCAATCGTGTTCTACGATCAATTGATATGTCGTTACTAGATTGTTGGATCTTACTACTTAGCCGTCTGCTTGGTTATGAGTAAATTGCCGAAAGTGTTTTAAATTGAAGAATTAATATTTTCAAGCAATAGAGGGTAGAATTACCGCGGAAAGATAAATAACTATCTTGTTGCAAATACGGTGTTGTGAAAGACATTGCAGACGGTTCATTTGTACCATCGAAGATTCCAGATGGCTGTCTTCCTATCCACTTAAATCTTGTGGTAAATTTCTTTTTCATCTCGTGTGTTTAGTGCTTACACAAGCATTACACAAAGAGGCATTAATAGATTCTACTATCAGGAATAACTTAGATTTGAAGTGTCAAAGTGCAAATAAGTTTGTTCTGTATGAAATGTGAGTTTGCGTCTATATTTGTATAGTATGCATGAATGTATTCTGGTTGTATGTTTAGTTATAAGATGCGATTTTTTTAGCATGACTTCTGCCCATTTGTTTAGCTTGCTGGCTTTCCACAAGTTAAATTCTTTTAATGCCTGAACTAGAGAATGACACATTTAAGGCTCCTTATACAACTTATATTATCAGGCAAGGCATGGAACTCGTTCTCCTACCAAGAAACGGATTAAAGAGTTGGAGAACTTGGCAGCTCATCTGGAGGTGTTACTGAGAGAAGCTGAAGAACAGAACCTATCTTTGGAAAAACTTCCTGTTTGGTTAAAGGGTTGGAAATCTCCTTGGAAAGGAAAACTGAAAGGTGGAGAATTAATTATCCAAGGAGAGGATGAACTCTATGATCTTGGTATCAGGACTCGAGCAAGATTTCCAAATTTGTTTAATGATGATTACCATCTAGATGTTTATGCAATAAAAGCAACACAGGTAAGCTTTGTTCTAGGGTTTTCTTTCTTCCCTTTTTGTTATATAAAGGCACTAAAGTTTGTTTTCCCTGTACAGGATAAATTATTGCCACGATCAGCCTTGTTTCATAGATTGTTCGTAACTTTGAATATGGAATAATAGTCATCTATTAGGCTTGGCAATTTTCTATTCCAATGTTTGGAGTAATTCTCATTTTCAGGTTGAGACTTTAATCTGATCGAAGTTAATTATATCTATCTGGCTGTGGATAGGTCCCTCGGGCATCAGCCAGTGCTGTGGCATTTGGCATGGGATTGTTTAGTGGGAAAGGAAGTCTTGGACCAGGGCGTCATCGAGCTTTTGCTGTAACCAGCGAAAGCCGTGCAAGTGATACAATGCTAAGGTTTCATGATTGTTGCCAAAACTACAAGGTATTCTGCAGTCCTGATATTTTCCTTGATTTTTGAACACATGCACACACACAAACTGATTATGCACCTTCTTAGTTGGTGGAATTGGGTGGAGCTAGACTGGGTTGTCACAACCCCATTTCAATCGGTTTATCTGCCATTCTGTGCTTTAGTTGTTGGTTGACGAAGACTTATGTATTTAGGCATTTAAGAAAAGTCAGGAGCCTGCTGTTGATAAGCTTAAGGAACCTGTTTATGATGAAATTACTTCTGCAGTAAGAAGGCGCCACAGGCTGAATCTTACAAGGCAGGATACACTTCTCTGTGGTTTCTGTGCAAACAGGTGATTGCTTTGTTTCTGTTTTCATACACAAACTCATTTTGTTGCTCCCGTGGATTGAGCTTGTGAATTAATTATCCCTGAAGTGCAATTGATTTTTATGGTCATCTGTTGTTTGTTCTATTTGGCAGGAAGCATCCTTGTTGAATATAGTTGATCAAGCTTGTGCACTTTTCAGTCCTTCTGAGGTATGCAGAATTTTATATTGTTAAGATTAACCAAATTTCTTATATTTTTCCATGATAATCAGGATATTCTGTTTAACATTTTTGGTTTGAATCTGAATATGATATATGAACGTGTACGCCATGACTCCAATATTGTGTAGACGACTAAAATGGCTGAAACTAGTTACATGATTAATACTAGCCTCTTTAGTTTGTAGGTAAATCCATTAATGGAGAGGACACAGCAAGTGAATTGGTGCTGAAATTGAATTACAAAAAAGAAATAAAAATTATATCTTAGAAGAATGCAATAGTTGCCCCCTTAGATTGTGGTTTAGTAATATCAGTAAACACAGATTTACGTGATCTCAATGTTTTTTGTTTGTTTATTTACACGAAAAAGTCTCCTGTGTTTAGGTTTCTTTGCTGGAGTGGACAGATGATTTGGAGGCCTTTATATTAAAGGGGTATGGTAAATCAATAAACTATAGAATGGGAGTGCCCTTACTTGAAGATGCTGTGCAGTCCATGGAGCAGGCTATTAAGGCCGAAGAAGGTAACCCAATAGTAGGCTGTCATTACTGGATAATATTGTGTCCTGACGACTATTAAACCTCATGGATATGTCAGTGTCTATTTGGACTTCAGTTAAATGTGGAATTCTTTGAATTATGTAGTTTTACAATGTCTTTGTTTTCTCGCTGTGTTTCTTTTCATTTGAACTTATAAAAGGAGGGAAAAACTGTTGTGCAGTTGTACTTTCAACCTACAAAATCTTATTTTGTGTAAGCTGTGACTTCTGGTATTCCAATTCTCACTCGCTCTCTCCCGTTCCCCTTTTCTTTGTAGAAAAACATGCTCCTGGCAGTTATGAAAAGGCAAGGCTAAGTTTCGCACATGCAGAAACTGTGTTTCCATTTTCATGCCTGCTTGGACTTTTTCTTGACGGATCTGGTGAGTGATTTTTTCAGTAAATTCTTAATTTTGCTTGGATGATCTGGGTTTTGTGAGGGTGGGAATCTGAATGTTCATGTATATGGCTTCTTCTATATTCTGTTCTCATAATAGGTGTTATGTTCTCTGTATTTCAGAATTTCAAAAAATACAGAGGGAACAGTCCTTGCAACTCCCTCCAATGCCTCCCCAGAAGAGAAATTGGAGGGGCAATACTGTGGCACCTTTTGGTGGGAATAACATGCTGGTTCTGTACAGTTGTCCAGCCAACACATCAAACAAGCACTTTGTGCGAGTGCTGCACAATGAACATCCCATTCCAATGCCAGTAAGGCCCCATTCTTACTTATTTTTAACTCATATGATTCTCGAACATTTTCGGATTCCAGACTTTGATTTCACTTTTGAACTTAGAAGATTCCCAAGTAACGCAATTTGTATTGGATTACAGATTTCTTTTCATACATTTTTGTAATGGCGAATAATGGCCAACTGTTTCAGTTATAACTTATTAACGGGTTGCTCTCTGTTTTGTCCTCGTGTTGAATTCTCAGATAATATTGTTTTGTGTTTTGGTGTTTAGGGTTGTGATGGTACTGATTTCTGTCCACTTGATATGTTTAAGGTATTGTTCCTACCCTACTCTCAGATTTAATAGATATGATCTTTAAGCTCGTTATCATTTTACCACTTGTGTTTTTCCAGGAAAGAATAGTGGCTCCTCATTTGAAGCATGACTATAATTCTGTGTGCAATGTAAAACTGGAACAACAAGAGCAGAAGCCTGTAGCCAGTAAGTTATCTCAACTGTGGATGTTCTCACTGGGGAATGGTGATAAAAGGTCCCTCGATGAATTGTAGTTTACTTTTTTCAAGTGGGGAAGGCATAATCGTTGCACTTCCTTTAGTAGCTTGCATTATTCACAGCAGCTTTTTCTTCTAGCAAACCTCTGTTTTTCATTATTCCCTTCATCTTGTCACAGTTGAAGTATCTGAGGCAGGCGGTAGAGTAGTGAATTTTGTAACAATGTCATGTTATAGTTTCGCTCTTTACAAAACAGCTCTTTAAAGATGTAACAATGGATATTTGTGCCAATTTGTTGGATTGGAGTGCTAAATGAATATAAACGACATGTCGTTTGCATCATCCTTGTAATCCCATTTTGCATTTCAAGCTAAAAGTTCAAATAGTAAACCACAGAGTGGGAAATGAAATGAAAACCGGGTTGGTTATATTCAAGCCACGTTTATATTTGGTCAACACGGTTCTACATTTTGAGACGGCTAATTTGTTGTATGTAAGTTCCACAAAAGCTCATAGCAAAGTCCTCTTTAAGTTATGGCCATGAATGGGCATGGTGAGTTGAATTTTGAAGCCCCAACCCTTCCCAAAATACGGTTACTTTCGTAGTGATTCTTTTTTATTTTATTTTTTATTTTAGCAATTACGGAGAAGTCTAATATCAACATTAAGACAATCGGGTGTGCCTTCACTAAAGATGACCCATAATGTAATAAACAAATGCATTAATTGGCAAATGGAATCTAATTATTCTGCTTGGTTTGGCATTTTTGTTCTTGTTTAGAATAGTTGGTAGGGCAACTAGTTCAGTTGGATAGTTGTCATGACTTGGGTCTGGGCCCATGGCATCTTGTGCTATCTGGTTGAATTGCTCTCCCAGAACGACTTGCACACTTCGAGTAGCTAAACCATTAGAAGAGGGGAGGCTGGCGTGGTACCAAACAAGCCCCCTCTAATGGTTAAGTTAATGACTGGTTCGAAATGAGGAATGAATACAAAGTTTCTGGGTGAGAGAATCATTATTACCTTTGTCTCAATGTAGGTGAAGAGTATTTATAAAGGGAGATGGGGAGGTCACATCTCCCTAAATCCAAGAAAAAGAGAGATCTCTAGCCATTCCCAATCTTCTTAAATCTAGTAGAATGGGAGATCTTTAGCCTTTCCCAATGGTGTGATTGGAGAGTGGTTATGGGCACCAGTCACTATGTTGATTATCAGGAACCAAGTAGCAAGGCAACATCTGGCTCGGACGTGAAACACATTTAGCCACCATACTGGTGTTAGGTGTCTGAAGTGACATGGCTTGACAGGGATTTGGTTGTATTAGAGTACTAGCGCATCTACCTTTCTAGTCACATGACACCACAGTGGACCTGGGGCGGTTAGTCTGGTCGGGTCAGTACATGGGCATCCAACTCCTGGCAGCGCAGCGTCTCTTGATAAGCTTGGGTCAGTATGAGGGACATACTCAGGATTTCAGAATGGCATAGGCTAAATTTACCTTACGTACAAACCTATTAAAAACTCAATGGTACGAGTAAATTTCATTGATAACAAAAAAAAAAGGGGGGGGGGGGGGGGGGGGAAATAATGAGCCTTAGCCCTCAAATAACACTTATATAAGTTGCACCCTTCGAGTCTTCACAGCATTAAAATCACTAATTATTAATTCATTATCTATATTATCAGCGAATTCTCTTTCAATATGACATATCATACAATCAGCAAGAAACTCATCACTTGTCTTATTCCGAAATCAATTTTTAATAAGTCTCATACATGAAAATGCTCGTTCTATTGTTGTTGTAGACACAGGAAGAGTTAGCACCAAATGAATCAATCTATCAATCAAATAGAATGTTTCCGCTAATTTTGTTTCGATTAAGCGCTCAAGTAATTAAGGGATGGAATCAATATTCTTGAAGGCTTGAATGTTATCCATATCAATCTTATAAAATCCCAACTGCTGATTTAAAGCATGCAACTCAGTTGTAGTGAAATCTAAAAGGTAAAATTTCTCAGCAAGAGTGCATATATTATCACTGTTAAATCGCTTGAAAGCATCACGAGGATCTAATGCTGAGCTAAGAGAAAGGAGTTCCACAGTCTCATATGGAAATCTAGTATTTAACTCCCCCAACTGAAAATCTATTACCTCATTGAATACATCAATATGATAATAATGCTCAACTGTGATACAATCTCTTTGTTGACAAGAACGGCGAGTGCCTATTGTATGATGGGCACCCATATCAGGCATATTAATATCATGTTATTCACAAAATGATTGTACACTCTGTATAAAATCATTCCAACCATTATTTCTCAACTTATCAAGCTCCATTTTTGTACTTGCAACCAAATTCAAAGCCTTTACAATGTCTTGAGATTTTCTATGAAGTTCTTGACAAAGAAAATCAGTGAATCTCATAGTTTTGTCCAACAATTTCAACGCAAAAACAAAGTCGAAAGATAACATAGATATTTTAATACCTTCTGCTTCACCACGAAATTGTGTGGTAGGTCTATTATGGCTGATATCCTTTAGAAGTGTCTTGGTTGCACCAAATAAATCAATCAAACTCCTAATTCCAGGGCGTTGCAAACAATGAATTTGATTAGCCCCTTTAGCTATCCTAAGTCTTCCAGCAGCTTGTAATTCTTCAATTTCAGTTTGTCGGATTAATTTTAATTCAAAATGGCGTTTAGCAGAAGCTCCAACAAAATTCACAATATTATTCAACATTGAAAAAAAAATCTTCAAACGAGTCCTACCTCTTTAGCTACACCATTTAAAGCTAATTGAAGACGATGAGCAAAGCAGTGTATATAATATGCATATGGACAATCATTGAGAAATAACTCTTGTAAGCCACTCCATTCACCACTCATATTGCTAGCACCATCATATCCTTGACCATGCATATTGCTCACTAAAAGATTATGCTTGCCAAGAACTTTACAAATATCACTTTTAAGAGTTGAGGAGTTGGTGTCATGAACACTCACAATATAAAAAAACCTTTCTTGAATATGCCCATCACAACCAACAAACCTTATGATAATAGCCATTTGTTCCTTCTTAGAGTCGTCTAGTGCTTCATCAACAAGAATACAAAATTTCCCATCTTCCCCAATTTCATCTCGTATCCTCTTTCTCACTTTGGTAGAATAGATACTTAAGATCTCCTTTTGTATCTTATTTGAAATATATTGGGCATTCAAGGGAGCATTTTGTAACACAACTTTTTCAATGTTTACATTCATTCTTGCAAAAGCCTTCACCAACTCAATGAAATTGCCTCAATTATAGGAGTCATAAGATTCATCATCACCTCTAAAAGCCATTCCTTGATTTGCTAGATACCTAATCGCCTCTATTGTGGTTGTAAGCCTCAAATGGTTTTTTGCAACTTTTTGTGGGGTTTGCACTACTCTATCAATATGGTGAGTTGGGTTTTTTAAATCCATCCATTTTTGCATAAGAAAATGATGTGTTGAATTTATATTGCCTACATGAATAAGGAAAACACACTCTTTTCCACCGGCTCTTCTCCAACTTTTGAATCCCTCTACAGTGAATGCCTTATGTAAGTGATCAATGTCAAAAAGAAAGCATGGAAAGCAAAACACTTTGTCTTTATGAACACTATACTCAAGCCAATGGTATTGCTTATACCAACTACCAACAAATCGACGCTTTTGTTTCCCTTCTAAATGTGATGGAAATTCCTTTAATTGTGGTTGACATGGTCCTAAGAGAATGTATGCTCTTCGAACATTATCACATTCATTAGGTGGATATGTGTCTATTTGAGGACGTTATCTGGGATCACGTTCGAGAGATTTGGTATTAACTTCTTGATGAGACTCGACTCTTACATTTTCATCTTCAATTCTTTGAGGTTGAGAATGAGGTTGCTCCTCACAAATTGGAGGAGACAGAGAAGGACCCGAAGACATGCTAGTTGATGATTCATCATTGTTTCTCTTAAAAAAATCTTGAATGGTCCTTGATCTCTTAACGTTACGATGTTGACCCGACATTATAAAGTATAACCTATTGAATAATATATAGAAGATGTAAACATATAGACCAACAAAAATTTCAATAAAAACATTACATACTTAAATACTTAAATATCTAATTAAAATCCCTAATTGACAATTCATACAAGCAAGCAAGAACACCAAAATCAAAAAACTAATTGATAAACCTTAATTGTAAATCCCTAATTGATACTTCATAAACCCTAAATAATCCCCAAAATTTCAAAAGAAAAGAAGATGAAGAATGGAAGATTACCTTAGTTTGCTTTAATTAAGTCTGAGGACATGCATAATTTTCCTTTTTGTCGAAGACTAGGAGTTAGCCACTACCGGATGCAATAGAGGGATTTTTTTTTGTTTTTGTTGTTTTTTTTTTTTTTTTTTTTTTTTTGGGTAAAGGAGAGAGGGAATGTCTATGCCTAGTGGGAGTCTAATGTTTTTCACGTGGGGTGTGGGGTTTAGTTCTTTTATTTATTTGTTGGTTAGCCTAGTTCTAGTGGGATTAGTTAATAATATTTTATTTGGATGGTTAGCCTAGTCCTAATGAGAATAGTTAATAATACTTATTTGGATGACCTAGACTAGAGTATTAATTTAGCTTTATAAAAAACAAGTTATCTAGGCTTTAGCCTAGGTTAGCGTGCTAGTGGATAAGTTCCTAGTCGGTGTATGAATGACCTACCCTTTCTTAGCCACATGATGTTTTCTGATAGACTTGGCTATATGACACATTAACAAGCATTGCTTTTTATACAAATGATATTAAGACAAGGAGGAATTCGATCACATTGCCTTTTTTATTTTTTTTATTTAATAAATTCCTTTCTGGGAAGTATTATTAGTGGTTCAAGATCAGTAATCAACGAACATCCGTGGTCCACAAAAGCTTAAACTGACAAGCACGCAAAAGTACGCGTCTGACGGTCAAGGAAGGGAAAGGCCATCTTGTCATTGGTCAACATATTGAACAAGAACACGAACCGTAAAACATATTAATTAATACTGATTTTAGCAATTATATAATTACCACTTCGATGACGAAAGAAAAATAATTTTGTTTTTTGGTAATTAAAAATGAAGCCTAGAGGGTCAAAAGAGAAGTTCAGTTGGAGTGCTAATGTAGGTTACACGAAAGCTATTATCAGAAGGGATCGTACTTAGACATTCAAATTAAAATCAATTTAACGGTAATTTCAGAATTCAAATTACAACCACACCTAAATGATGAATGTCCATCACTCATCTTCTCAGAAATAACAAAGAAAAGGACCATTCTCAAATTGGAAATTTTAATGAAGGGGACTTGAGAAGATTTTTATTTTATTTTTTAATACAAGCGATAGTATACTACAAGGGAAATGAGGATTACACACACACACACACACACACACACACACACACACACACACACTACTAAGGTACCATCGAGATTCAAACAAAATATCACTAATCTACAAGTCAAAGCCTCTTTTCATTGGGCTAGACCCGTTGGCGGGGACTTAAAGAAGATTACAAAATAAAATATATAATAAAGAGTATTATATAAAAGTAATTTCCTCACAATTTATATATATATATCCATAAATTCTCTCGCAATTTTCAGTCTACGTACATGGACGTGTGGACCTATGGTAATGATCCCACTTGCATGCCACCTGTTTGTTTTGGGGAAGATCATTTTTTGCAGGCCTTGACAATTTCTTAGGCCTTAACGTACTCCATTAAGCATTGTGCATAGATATATAGCAATATATTAGCTACTTCTATTGAGATTCTTCAAATTAGCTTATTTGAGGGATATCTTTATAGGGCCATTCCGTATTGTATTTCACTAATCCAAATCGTCTATGTTTTACATAATCATTCAAAGATCATCTCTATAAAAAAAATCACTTGAATCCGATATCTTTTGACGACTCAATTGTGTTATTGAAATTTTAGTACTTTCTTGAAGCACCGTGTTCATTGATTTTGTAGGATACAATTGGATGTCGAAACGGTTTTCGATTTGTCTAATTTTTTGTAAGGATGATCTATGAATGTAGACTTAAAAAATAGATGGTTTGGATCGTTCGAAAAAAATTCATAAGGTACCCCAAAAGATGTCTCTCAAATAAAATTATCTGAGGAATTTCTCAATAGAAGGAGACTATATATATATATATATATATATATATATATATAATTTGACTTTGGTTCCTGTATTCTTTTCACGGTTCTCATCCATGCTTTTCTACATGCAAGCTTTTCCATCATTTTCTTAGGTACAAATTTCAGTTTGGTCCCTATATCTTATTCGTGCTTTGGTTTTTGATCGTTGTACATCTAATTTTAGCGATTTTGCCTTATAATTGACTGTCTATCCACATTCATATTTCCGTTAATTGCTTGACAGAATTGGCACATGCTTGTCACATGTTGTGGTTAATTATATTAATCTTTTTTATATCATATTCCTCAGCACTCTCCCATAACCCTACCATGATTAATTTTAGCGATTTTGTCCTTAAATTGCAATGGCCAAAATTTATAGTAAAAGGACCAAAAATCAAAACTCGTACAAACTCAAATTTGGCCTCTTTGAAAGTCAATATTACAGAAAATAAAATTAATCACCTAAAATTAATTATGAATAAAAAGAAAAAGAGTCCCATGCCAAATCCGACGTATATTAGTTTAATATAAGCAAAATCCTAGTAAATAATTTATTTTCATTTTCCAGGTGTGTGATTAAGGAGGATAAATCCTCCAAGCAATCACAAGCAATCAAATTATATTTTTCTCAAGCGCCCTTCTCTTTGATTGCATTGCAAAGAGTCTGAAAAAACCAATACATCCCAGAGACCGCTTTGTAGGATATATAGAAAAAATAATAAGAAATAAATAAATTGGGTTGCTTAAGGGGTTTAAATTAGGTTACTTTCGTGGTAGTCGTATGGAAACTATATGGCTAGGATATTTGGGTGGTAATATTATCCCTCGCCCTTGCTATAAATACATACATATCAAAGGGCATAAATGAAATGTGTAACCAAAATCCTTTAGCTTGTTGCATGGATTTACTAAGCAGAAACTAGCTAGCATCCAAAATGTCTTCTAAACAAGATGTCACTTTGGCCCTATGGCATAGCACGAATGATCATCGTGGTTCGTTGTCTCAGCCACCTCCTCAAAATGATAATGGTGGACATTCGTTGGTTAAACCAAATGTTCAGGATGTTTTTGGAAGAGAGAACACATCTCAGGCAAATGATAATGGTGAACATTCGTCGGTTCAGCCAAATGTTCAAGATGTTTTCGGAAGATAGAAGAAGAAAACTGGGAAAAAGAAAGGGAACTAGTGATAAGGGTTATGCAGTAGGTCATAATATATATAAATAAGCTCCTTTGCAGATTTATATTTACAAACTACAAAGATCTTTGTACAAAATAGATACAAGCTTGTTTTGAGGGGCACACATTTGTTTAATTTCAGTTTGCATTGTTGTATAACAAAAATACATGCATTATTTGATTTTGTTCCACAAGTTGGGATTGCAATATATAATTCATTATATTTAAGAACTACTAATCCATGTCTTTTTTGGTTTGATTGTGTTTAATTGTACCATAGGGCTGGGAGGGCAAACCCTTTGTCTATATAACAGGCCCCCCTAATCTTTTTAAAGGGATCTCTTGTCCCTTAGCTTTTGAGACTCTCCCAAGGAAACTCATAGTGAAAAATAACCAAACAAATTCCATGGACATAACTCACATTGGGTGAACCATGTCAAAGCGCCGTGTTCTTATATGTGTCTCGATTGCATTACTTCATGTTATTAATAACAATGATGAGATTTGAGAAAAAATAGTAGAGTGAAAATGAAGTTCTTTCTATTGTTCTTGAGAAAAATGAAGTCTGCTTACAAGAAGGGTTATCTACTGTAGACGTCTCTGAACTATGGCCCCAGTTGCAATTGGGTCAGTAAACTAATTTTTGAGGAAATTACATCCTTTAATTAGACAATTAGTTGCAATTAGGTCCTGCCGTCCAACTCTATCAAATTATCCGTCAAAATGAGGGGTAAAAGAGTCCTTTCGAGTATTAAGACTCTCCTTCGAGTCTGAACACCCTAAATCGTTCGCTTCATAACTTAACTCGACCCCCAAATGAAGAACTGAAGAACTGAAAAACTGAAAAGGGCTGCGAGGGAAGGAAAAATGTCAGAGAGTTCGACATATTCAAATTGTAGCCGTCGTTACAGCTAGTGTGGGTCGGAAATCAAACGCCGAACTTCATGGACAAATCTGAATCCTAGAAGAAGATTTGAGGCATGTTGCAATAATCGGGTAAGTTTTTGTACTTGTAGAAGATTGGTTGAAGTAAAAATGGATTTTGTTGGATCTGAAATTGGTGTTTCATTTTGTTTGAATTGCAGAACAGTAAAAGGAGGTTGCATTTTTTCGCATGGGTGGAAAATGAAACATGCCCACAAGGAAAGGAAATCTTGCCTGGGTTACTTAGAAGACTAAGAGGAATGAAGGACGAATTGAGTGCAACGACGGAGAATTTCAGATTGATGGAAGAAGAGACACTACTACAAAAATCGAAATAGACGACGGGAAACCACCGTCGTGTAAAAGGTTTTTGCCCGGTCGTGAAATCGACTGCCGTCTATTTGGGTTTCAAATTACGACGGCTTTTCACCGTCGTTGTTTATCAGTAAAGATGACGGTTTTTAAAGAAAATCGTCGTTGTTTAGAGGTAAAGATCGTTAATTATAGGAGGAAAGACGACTGTTTTTAATAAAACCGTCGTGTATTGTATGTAAAGATGACGATTTTTTTATGAAAACCGTCGTGGATTGTTTATAAAGACGTCATCTTTACATACAATAGACGACCTTTTTTTATAAAAAGCGTCATCTTTACATACAATACACGACGGTTTTTATAAAAAGCGTCATCTTTACATACAATAAACGACGGTTTTTTATAAAAAGCGTCATCTTTACTTACAATAGACGACGGTTTTTTTTATAAAAAGCGTCATCTTTACATACAATAGACGACGGTTTTTTTTATAAAAAGCGTCATCTTTACGTACAATAGACGACGGTTTTTTTTATAAAAAGCGTCATCTTTACGTATAATAGACGACGGTTTTATAAAAAGCGTCATCTTTACATACAATAGACGACGGTTTTTATAAAAAGCGTCCTCTTTACATACAATAGACGACGGTTTTTATAAAAAAGCGTCATCTTTACGTACAATAATGCTTTTTGATTTCCTATGATGCTATACAACGATTTTAACTAGAAAACCAACCATAATGCTTTATCAAAAATAGTTTCTTTCATAAAACTTGAAGATTCAATAGTTATTACATAGTTAACCAATCTTTATTCTACAACAAACATAATTCCTAACAAGACCTACGTACTCCTAATCCAAGCATTCCTCATCCAAACATACAAATGATGCACAACTGAAGTCTCCTCCATCATCCCTGTAAATAAATCAAAATGACAAAGAGAGAAAAAAAAAAGAAGCTAAGATTATAAACATAAAAAATTAGGTGGAAGAGAAATTTTACCATTGGTCCATATTTCCATAGAAAACTTGTAAAATGAGCATAAAAAAGACCATCGAGAACCTGCAAATTTTCAACAACAAAAAAACATACGACTCACATAGAAAACCTGCAAAAGAAAAAGTTATAAATCTGCAAGCTTCCTCCTCATCTCCTGATAACCAAATCAGAAAATCTAAAAAGAAACCAGAAATAAAAAAAAATGTAAACAAATCAGACAAATCAAGAGAGACAAAATCTGAAATTAGGGATACAAAGAACATACCAAAAACGCAAAGAGACTAATCCAGAATTCACTAGCAAGATATAGAAGGGTATTAAGAGATTAGGTGACTTTCAAATCAAACCTTTCAACCAGCTTTGATTCTCAAATACAGAACATCCCTCTACATCTTATGGATTTGCTAAGACCTCAATCTCTCAACTCCTTCATTGATATCGATCTTTTGATGATTTTGTAGAGAGTTTCATGAGGGTGTTTTAGAGAGTGCATGAGGGTTTCAAGGAGGGAGAGATAAGGTTTTCAGAGACGGGGGAAAATCTGAAAATTTGACAAGCGCGAATTCACTTAAGTAGACTTTTTTTAGCGTGTTTTAAAAGACGACGCTTGTTAATGAGAGATAAGATTTTCAAAGACGGGTGAAAATTTGAAAATTTATCGAGCGCGAATTCACTTAAGCGGCCATTTTTTAGCGTGTTTTAAAAGACGACGCTTTTTTTAAAAAAAAATTTGTCATCTTTACATATAATATACGACGGTTTTTTTTATAAAAAGCGTCATCTTTACATATAATAGACGACGTTTTTTATAAAAAGCGTCATCTTTAATACAATAGACGACGGTTTTTTAAAAAGCGTCATCTTTACATACAATAGACGACGGTTTTTTATAAAAAGCGTCATCTTTACGTACAATAGACGACGGTTTTTATAAAAAGCGTCATCTTTACGTACAATAGACGACGTTTTTATAAAAAGCGTCATCTTTACATACATAGACGTTTTTTTCCACTACACTCCTTGACCCTATATGAATACAATGACTGAATTTGATCTTCAATTTAAAATATTTACACTAGTGGATACCACAAAATCTTATGTTATATTTAACGAAAGTATAAATAAACTCTTAATTGTTAGTGAATATTTTTTTTTATGGCATACGCATTTTAAGAAACTAGTTTCAACGATCCAACCGTCAAACTTGTTTGTTTATACTTCGAGATCATCTACACCAAAAATCGAAAAAAATAAACATTCAGAGATAAAGTAACGGGACAAAAAATTTCGACGGTTATAAATGAAAAATCATGATTTAACGGTTATTTTAACTCCGATTTTGATGATTTTTTACCGCTACACTCCTTGACCCATATGAATACAATGATTGAATTTGATCTTCAATTTAAAATATTTACACTAGTGGATACCACAAAATCTTATGTCATATTTAACGAAAGTATAAATAAACTCTTAATTGTTAGTGAATATATTGTTTTGATGGCATACGCATTCTAAGAAACTAGTTTCAATGATCCAACCGTCAAACGTGTTTGTTTATACTTCGAGATCATATACGCCAAAAATCGGAAAAAATAAACATTCAGAGATCAAGTAACGAGACAAAAAATTTCGACGGTTATAAATGAAAAATCATGATTTAACGGTTATTTTAACTCCGATTTTGATGATTTTTTACCGCTACACTCCTTGACCCAATATGAATACAATGATTGAATTTGATCTTCAATTTAAAATATTTACACTAGTGGATACCACAAAATCTTATGTCATATTTAAGAAAGTATAAATAAACTCTTCATTGTTAGTGAATATATTGTTTTGATGGCATACGCATTCTAAGAAACTAGTTTCAATGATCCAACCGTCAAACGTGTTTGTTTATACTTCGAGATCATATACGCCAAAAATCGGAAAAAATAAACATTCAGAGATCAAGTAACGGGACAAAAAATTTCGACGGTTATAAATGAAAAATCATGATTTAACGGTTATTTTAACTCCGATTTTGATGATTTTTTACCGCTACACTCCTTGACCCTATATGAATACAATGACTGAATTTGATCTTCAATTTAAAATATTTACACTAGTGGATACCACAAAATCTTATGTTATATTTAACGAAAGTATAAATAAACTCTTAATTGTTAGTGAATATATTGTTTTGATGGCATACGCATTCTAAGAAACTAGTTTCAACGATCCAACCGTCAAACTTGTTTGTTTATACTTCGAGATCATCTACACCAAAATCGAAAAAAATAAACATTCAGAGATAAAGTAACGGGACAAAAAATTTCGACGGTTATAAATGAAAAATCATGATTTAACGGTTATTATAACAAACCATCATCTTTACATATAATAGACGACCATTTTTTATAAAAAAAACGTCATCTTTATATATAATAGACGACCTTTTTTTTAAAAAAAAATCGTCATCTTTACATATAATAGACGACGGTTTTTATAAAAAGCGTCATCTTTACATATAATAGACGACGGTTTTTATAAAAACGTCATCTTTACACATAATAGACGACGGTTTTTTATAAAATCGTCATCTTTACACATAATAGACGATGGTTTTTATAAAAATCGTCATCTTTACATATAATAGACGACGGTTTTTAATAAAATCGTCGTCTTTACATATAATAGACGACGGTTTTTATAAAAATCGTCATCTTTACATATAATAGACGACGGTTTTTAATAAAAATCGTCGTCTTTACATATAATAGACGACGGTTTTATAAAATCGTCATCTTTACATATAATAGACGACGGTTTTTATAAAAATCATCATCTTTACACATAATAGACGACGGTTTTAATAAAAATCGTCATCTTTACATATAATAGATGACGTTTTTTTTTATATAAAAAGCGTCATCTTTACATATAGTATGACGTATGATAACAAAATCAAAGAAATAAATTGATAAAAAAAATTCGTATTAAGACGACGGTTCAAATATAAGGTATGACGTATAAAGGGAATAAATACGACGTTAAATTATATAATACGTCGTTAAATGAAAAACAAACGTGGTGAGATTTAAAGATACCATCGTAGAACTATACAAGAAAGATGTCAATATATTTTTATTTTCCGTCGTTGTACATTAATTTAATATGGCGATATTTTGTATTTTACCGCCGTGGATTTATTTGTAATTATATAGCGCCTTATACGAAAACTTGGTCGTGTTATTTTCTACGTAAAAACGGCGGCTTTTTTTGAAATCGTCGTCTTTACTTTCTACATCGGTTATTCATAACTTCTGCCGTTCTTTATTTGCTTTGATTTTACACTGCTGAAATCCTATTTCAATATACGTCGGTTTTTTAATTAGGTACGTCGTTTTTATGAACAACCATTTGAATCTCCATTTTTTAGGTGTCTAAGGTGTTGTGTTTTATAGAACCGTCGTCTTTTAAAAAACGACGACGGTTTTCACTTAGACCGTCGTTTTTTTCTGGTCGTCTTTGTCACTTTTTGTAGTAGTGAGAATAATAAATTTTGAAGCCCCCAACCCTTCCCAAAATATGGTTACTTTCACAGTGATTTTGTTTTATTTTCTTTTTATTTTAGCAATTACGGAGAAATCTAACATCAATATTGAGACAATCGGGTGTGTCTCCACTAAAGATGACCCAGAATGTAATAAACAAATGCATTAATTAGCAAATGGAATCTAATTATTCTGCTTGACTTGGTATTTTTGTCCTTGTTTAGCATTGCATTTTTTTTTTCTTTCTTGGCAGTATTATTAGTAGTTCAAGATCAATAATTAACGAACATACGTGGTACACAAAAGCTTAAACTGACAAAGTACACAAAAGTATGCGTCTGGCTGTCAAGGAAAGGAAAGGCCATCTTGTGATTGGTCAACATATTGAAAAAGAACACGAACCGTAAAACATATTAATTAATACCGATTTTAGCAATTATATAATTACCACTTCGATGACGAAAGAAAAATAATTTTGTTTTTTGGTAATTAAAAATGAAGCCTAGAGGGTCAAAAGAGAAGTTCAGTTGGAGTGCTAATGTAGGTTACACGAAAGCTATTATCAGAAGGGATCGTACTTAGACGTTCAAATTAAAATCAATTTAACGGTAATTTCAGAATTCAAATTACAACCACACCTAAATGATGAATGTCCATCATTCATCTTCTCATAAATAACAAAGAAAAGGACTATTCATCTTTTGACACTGTGTTTGACTTTTCCTCTATGGGGTGTGGTTTCTTGAGTAAGTGAAGAGGATGATGGTTGCAAGGGCACTTGTTGTGAGTATGTCATTGGCGGATTGACCATTTCTTGACTAATACCACTTACCACCTAAGATAAAAACCACAAAGAACATATATTACTATATAGGCAAACATAAAAAATCTGAGTTGGGCAAGAATAATAGGCAACTAACTGGCTTTAAAGATGACACCTTTGCAGCTGGATTCCATATGCCTCTTCCTCTTTCTATGCATGTTCCTCTGGCCCTATTAACTTGAATTTGGGATGGGGCAGTGTAAGTTTGAGTTGGGGCAGCATAAGTTTGGGCTAGGGCAGTGTAAGTTTGGGCTGGGGTAGCATGAGTTTGGGTTGGGGCATTATCATTTTGGCATGCATTTCCATTGTCAGCTGCTTGAACTTGATTTTGGCCAACATTCCCATTTTGGGCTGCCTCAGCCTGCACAACATACAAACACAACTATATAAAAAATCACAACCACAGCTGACCACAACCCAAATAATTAAAATTCATAAGAAAACCCAAATAATTAAACAACCTGTCTTCTACATCCTCTTCGATTGTGGCCTTCTTTTCCACATGCTCCACATCTAATTTAAATGAAGAGTCTTCTAAGTTTTGCTGGTGGAGCAATGTAACCTGGAGGCAAAAGGTTTGGTGGGTTTGGGGCTAATACTTGAACCTCACCAGGCACCCTTGTCCTCACTCTCTTAGGTCTTCCTAGTTGGCGCTTATGAAATGGAGGTCTAATTGGAGGCAAGCCACCCTTAACCCACTGATCCATAGAAGGGATGGGGTGAACTATTGGTTCATATGACCTCATGTATGTCTCTGGCTTATAACACTCATGTACATATTCAACAGGCTTTTCATCTATGTGGAATATAGTTGAAATAGCATGTGCACAGGGTATGCCACATAAATCCCATCTCCTACAACTACAAGACATTGCTTTTAAATATACAACAAACTCCCCACCATACATGTGATTGACTTGATACATTTTCTCCCCAGCCAATCTAGGAATGCATTGAGAAGCTCCCATCTTGTTCTTCTAAATTATTTTGAATATCCTTGATCCAACAGGGTATTTCAATTTACAACAAGCAGTCCTTCGATTAGCCATCCTAAGCATCATATACATTCAAATACTTTCCAAACATGTCAAAATGGAATTATCTCTGGCATCAATTATAGCTGCATTAAAGCTCTCACAAAGGTTGTTCAACAGAAGATCACACTTATACCTTGGATGAAAATGAGATCTAGTCCAATTTTTGGGTGGTCTCTGCACTAACCATTTCCAAGCTTCCAAGTCTTCTTCCTTCATCTTCTCCATTTCTGCTTCCCACCAAGGAATAGTAGTGGCTCTGGCAGCTGCCCACAACATGTGTTTAAGAGTGAGACCAAGATGTGTTGCTATGAAATTATTGTACAAGTGCGTGACGCACATCCTATGCTCTGCAATTGGTAGTACATGTGCAATGGCAAGTATGATGCCTTTTTGCTTATTACTTATGAAAACCCATGATAAACCATTTGTAATACCTAAATCTTCAATCAACAAATACAGAAACCAAATCCACGAGTCCTTGTTTTCAATCTCAGCCACATCATATGCAATTGGGAAAATACCATTATTACCATAAACTCCTACATCAGTCAATATTTGCCCAGGATAAGGACCTTTCAAATGGTAAGCATCAACCCCAATTACAGGCCTGCACCCTTCTAAAACCCCTTTTTTTACAAGCAGCCAGATACACATAAATCCTTTGAAATATTGCTTCACCCCCAATCAGATCACACTTAATTTTCACTGTACTACCTTTGTTGGTATTCTTCAACTGCTCTGCATAGTCCCACCACCGTGCATATTGCTGTATATAGTTTCCTTCAATTTGTGCTTTAGCCAATCTCTTTGCTGTTTTGGACACCCTCACATGATAGGACTTCGAAACTTCTCCCTGAAATGCTTTCAAATTCCAATATGTGTTTCTTTTAATCTTGCTAGAAAATATATCACAAATCCATTTGGGATTAGCAAACTTCAGTTTGTCCACCCTCCCACATGTATGTTCTAAGCTCAACTTCTTAATTGCAAATGTTTGCACATCCTAGTTTATCTGTGAAGCATAAACCACAAGTGGACATTTTAATCCTCCTTCGCAAATTGCCTTTACTCTCGTCTTGTCATTTTTTTTAAAGTACAGTTTCCTTCCATGAATAATGGAATATTCCCTTAGTGCCTCTTTAAGAACATATCTGTTTTCAAATTGCATCCCAAGCTGAAACTCAGGATGCTTTAAGTCCACCGCCCTTCTATACTGCTTAAACCGAGGCAGTTTTTTTTTTCCTTCTCACCTTACTTGTCCCTTCATTATCCCCTTCCATATCGTCCCCATCACCCTCACTTTCACTATCAAAATCTGAGATGTGCTCACCATCTGATGATACCTTTTCAGGAGCCTCAAAAGTAGGCCCTTCATTGCTACCATTCATAGTGTCCTCTTCCCCTTCACGAACATGCATTTCAACTGTCTTAAACCCAAATTCTTCTTCACTGAACTCGTAATCACTATCAACAAATTCTCCATCATCTTCTTTTTGTCTACAACCTCGGCTTCATCTTTATCTTAAACATCAACATTATCTTGCACCCCAATTTCATCTTCCACCTGACTTTTGTCTTGCACCTTAGTTTCATCTTCCACCTGAACATTGTGTTGCACCTCTGCATAATTGTTTGCACCATCCAAACCTTGGCACCCAAAAGATGTTTGACTCCAAACTATATTAGAATTGCCCACTTCAGTATAGTACAACACAACAATCCTATTACATGACATTTGGCCCAACATGTCAATCAGTTTAGCATCAGAGCTGATAAGTTCAAGCCCATCTACACCATGGGTTCCACCCTTCCTATACCATATTTCCATATTTGGTTTGGGGTTAGAAATGTCTACATTGTAACCAAGCTCTTTCCCTACCTTTCTTAAGTCCACCAATGACAGAAAATCCTCTATAACATTATCCAAGTAACAAACTTTTTCATTTTTATACTCCCCACTTTCCAACACACCCCCATGGTGAAGTTCTAAAGTACAGTTTTCATGGTTACCTGCACAGTAAACAAGAGTCAAAACAATACTAAAACACACACACCTGTTTTGGAATCATAAAATCAGACAAAACCATGTTTTAATTCAATGTTCTGCACCAAAACCAAAATATACAGTACACAGTTTGGTGAGTTTTTTAATAGCTATGGAATAACTTCAGTCCATTTGGTGTGAGGCATAGATAGAAGACAAGAAGGGATTAAAAAAAAACCCTAAGTGTTGCAGTCAATGACAGTATAAAGCAAAGCGTGTAACGGTATAAGGAATCTTTAAAAGCTATGGATCACACAGACGAAAACAAAACCAACTGATACGTATTCAAACAGGCAGAATCACTTACGGTATTTAGGAGCAACCCCACCCCAACGGAAGTCATATTCTTCCATCACTATTAGCCAAAATGAAACCCTAACCTTTAACTGTACCCCTGATCAACCCCAAATTTCGAAGCTTACACAGAAAATTTCTCACTCACTCAGTCACTGCTGCAGCAAATTGAACTCCAATGGCTGTCTCAGAAGGGATAGTTCACCGTCTGCAACTCCAATGTCTACTTCGAAGGTTCGGTTCACGTGCTTTCCCCCATTCTTCAACGCTAAATTGGATTTTGTTTTGTTCAAAATGACGAAAAGTCGAATATACCCCGAACAACAAGATCATGTGACACTCACATGGTCAATCTCGACGGATTCTGTTACAGCAGGACCTAATTGCAATTGATTGTCTAATTAAAGGATGTAATTGCCTCAAAAATTAGTTTACGGAACTAATTGCAACTAGGTCCATAGTTTAGGGACGTCTACAGTAGATAACCCTTACAAGAATCATGACACATTGGCTAAGCTCATATTAAAAAACTGAATTACATAGATAAGTAATCACAGGTGACAGGAGCAGGGCTTGAATATATTGAGGTGATGGGAGCAGGGCCTCTAACGAAAAGTGAAAGTTGAGAAATTCGTAAACAAAATTTAGGGTATTCAAAGCCACAGTGATAAATGCATGGTATGGGACATGCAGGCTTGGTGCCCTAAAGTATGAATTAGTGGGATTAGAAGGAAGTGAGTTCATGGCATCACGACATGTGCAAACTTGTGCATATTTAATTTGGATACTGCCAACAATTAATTTTCTTAATTAATACTTTTGTTGAAACCGTAGGTTCTTTTTGGACATGTCACCAGTGCCTTGTTATTTGTTAATCATGTGTACTAGTTTCTTTAAGTGATGAGGAGTCTTTGTTTTCTTAATCTTAATTAGGGGCCGCTTATAGCTTGTTTGCTGCGCTCTTGGTTTCTTTTTTTGGCATGTTGTCTTAGTTTAGGGTTATGATTTAAAACTACAAATGAGTCATACGTCATGTCTATATATGTGATTTTTTTTTCTTCCCTTTTTTAATAGGATTTTGTGGATTCGTGTTGTATATAATTATAAGGAGATTTATTACTGTTTACTCCAAATCATAGGCTAAGAGATTGTCTTCAACGCGAGCATACCACTATGAGAAAACTAATAAAAATTAAAATTAAAATATGACATGGATTGTATTGTTAAATATCAGAGAGATGGGTTAGTGGCCCACTACTAGCAACACCGATATTATCCCTAACAAATCTCAGTAGGTGCAAAGTTTTATCACAAAAAAGCCTCGGTGTTATTAGGATTGGAACCACTTATTATAAGTTGTAATTTATTTAGTCATGTTTCCAATGTAGGACTTTATATTATACGCACCCTTACGTGTGGGTGGGAGGCTGGGTTTGGGTCAAGGACCAGCTCTGATACCATGTTAAATTTCAGAGAGACGGGTCAGCCCCACTATTAGCAACATCAATATTATCTCCAACTAAACCACCTACAAAGCCGAGTAGGTGTGGAGTTTTATCACAAAAGGCATCGGTGTTATTAGGAGTAGAACCACTTATTATAAGTTATAATTTATTTAATCAAGTTTTCAATGTGGAACTTTATATTCTTCAACATGTATACGCTGTTATGGAAATAGGATCAAAGGGACATGAGTCAATATCGGATCCTGCACCATAGATTAATTGAAATTATTCAAGGATTAAAATCCAATTTTCTCACTAGTCCAAGGGCGAAATCACTTTTTTTTTTTGTTCTTGAACTGATTGGTATCTATGTAACAAGCGGTCCATAATTAAGTATATGCAGAAGTTTTTTAGTCCTAGAGATTAAGATCCAAAAATAAAAGCTGTAAATATTTAGACCTCGGCATCCATATTGGTCAAAAAATAGATCAATGACCACAAAATCGTAAAAACCACAATAACACACAAGATAAGGGAGTCTCGAAGGCTGTGAGAGAGAGAGAGAGAGAGAGAGAGAGAGAGAGAGAGAGCCCTTTAGGATGATGAGGAGGCCACATATATAGTTTTCATGTCCGATAGGGAGCCCTTTAGGATGTTCACGCAGGATTTATTCAGAAGCAAACACTATCAAACCAAAAACACAATGAAATATAGCAACAAGAGTTGTGGAACAAAATCAAATAATACATATACTGTGTTTCTTTTACACCCTAGAGTTGGAATTTATTCTTGGCAGCAGCCACCCCTTTTACAATATAATAATGGTAACTGAATTAATGAAGGAAATTTGAATGAAAACAACTTCTGTATTTATACATCTGCAAAAGGAGCAAGCATATTTGCAAATACCCCATTATTTGCCCAACAATGTATAAACATTATATTTAGAACCTGCTGCATAATTCTTCACTCGTTCCCTTTCTTCTTCCCATCTTCTGCCTATCTTCCTTCTTCACATCTTTCTTCTTCCTACTTGGTGAGAGACTCTCCTGAGTATTGGAAACGAGGTTCCGTTCTGAGAACGCGTCTGCTGCGAAGGATCCGTACTTTCATTCTGAGACGAAGGTGGCTGCGGCCAAAAGGTGTTAGTGACGTTGGGTTTCTTAGGAGGCATATTGATTCTAGCTAGCTTTTACTTTCTTTCTGGTTATGCTTTTGGTTTGCCTTTTTGAAACCAGTACGGTATTTATAGCCACCAGTTAGTTTCCACCCAATTACGAAGAAAGAAAGTGACAATTAAGATCCAAACAACTCAATTTATTTTGATGCTAAATTGGTTTCAGACTTTGCATTGCAGTTCAACAGAAGTGGTCTTCGTGATAAATTGGTTTCAGGTTTGATCAAACCTTTGATTGTTGAATCGCATGCGGTTGCTTGGAGCAGTGGTTTACTCGTCGTGAGCAACACACACATTCCTGGAAAATGAAATTGAAATTTTGACTGGGATTTTTTTATGATAATATTACTTGGAATTTGACGTTGGATCTACATTACATTTTCATTTCAATCTTTTTTCCCCTTCCCTTCTCAGCTTCTCTATGTGATTATTAAGAAAATGAACACAAATGCTTACACGTGTACAAACGAAGAAAACGCTTCCCCTTCCCTTCTCAGCTTCTCATAGATCGAAACCCTCATAAATAGAGAATTAAATAAACTTTGAAAATGCTTTTTTGTTTTGGTGGAACCTATGAAAATGCTTAAAAACCAAGAAAACGTCAAGGCCGACCAACAAATAATCTTCCCAGAAACACGATATAAGCAGTTGGCGTGCATGCATGCAGTCAAGTCATTTTCGTTGTATTTTCTAAGAAGATATTTAAGACAGCCATCACGTATGTGGGGAGTAATTAATTTGAATTATCACGTGCATGACTGTATATTCAATCTTTGAATATTTAAGAATCAATCCCTTGTGCTAATAGCTTTCCTATAACTGGAAATTCTCCTTGACCCTCTGCCAGGCCTTTTTTTATTTATAAATTTAATTAATTAATTAATATTTTTTATTTTTTATTATTTTATAAACAAGGCCTTGCATTAATATGTGTGAGTTAGCTTCCGCATGACGCGTACCTTTTTGCATATATTTGGTTTTGTTGCCACTCTCACAATTTGTCAAAGAACCCTATAAATACGTACCGGTACCTTGCCAGGCTTTTCTTTTTAGTCATAGAAACGTGTACCTTTTGGTACTTATCAGTTTTGTGGGTTATTAGTACTACCGTGTTCGTTAATTACTAGGGTTATTAGGTCTATTAGTCTTTGAATTTTGACCCAATTCGCATTTTGATTCGAATTGGGTTAAAATTTAGGGACTAATAGACCTAATAACCCTAATTACTAAGGTGTCAAATTCAAAAATTATGCACATTGAAAAATACTAAAAAATTACATACATATGAAATCCTTTTTGGTAGTTGAAGTCATAGAAAAGAATTAATCTAAGCCATTTTTTCAAGGCGTACTAATAGAGGTATGGGAGCATTTTTTTTCACCACATTAACTAAATGTGTATGTTCAACACCACCCTTAAAGGGTGACGCCTATCAAATAGTTAACCTTAGTTAACTTTATGTGAGAATAAATAAATAAATTTGATAAATGACCCACATCACAGCATAATCCCTCTTTTTCCTCCTTTCTCAAAAAATCAATGCATCCGAGAGACCATTTGGTAGGATATATAGAAAAAAGAATAAGAAATAAACAAATTGGGTTGCTTGGGGGGTTTAATTAGGTTACTTTCGTGGTACTCGTATGGAAACTATATGGCTAGGATATTTGGGTGGTAATATTACCCCTCCCCCTTGCTATAAATACATACACATCAAAGGGCAGAAATGAAATGTGTAACCAAAATCCTTTTAGCTTGTTGCATAAGATTTACTAATCAGAAACTAGCTAGCATCGAAAATGTCTTCTAAACAAGATGTCACTTCGGCCCTTTGGCCTAGCACGAATGATCATCCTGGTTCGTCATCTCAGCCGCCTCCTCAGAATGATAATGGTGGAAGTTCGCAAGATGTCACTTCGGCCCTTTGGCCTAGCACGAATAATCATCGTGGTTCATTGTCTCAGCCACCTCCTCAGAATGATAATGGTGGACGTTCGTCGGTTCAGCCAAATGCTCAGAGTGTTTTCGGAAGATAGAAGAAGAAAACTGGAAAAAAGAAAGGGAACTAGTGAAGGGTTATGCAGTAGGTCTTAATATATATAATAAGCTCCTTTGCAGATTTATATTTACAAACTTCAAAGATCTTTGTACAAAATAGATACAAGCTTCTTTTGAGGGGCACATATTTGTTTAATTTCAGTTGTATAACAAAAATACATGCATTATTTGATTTTGTTCCACAAGTTGGGATGTTGCTATATATAATTCATTATATTTAAGAACTACTAATCCATGTCTTTTTTGGTTTGATTGTGTTTAATTATACCATATTTTGTGCCTCACTTATCCACATGGAAATATGTAAAGGGCTGGGAGGGCAAACCCTTTGTCTATGTCATAGGCCCCCCTCACCCTTTTAAAGGGATCTTTTGTCCCTTAGCTTTTGAGACTCTCCCAAGGAAACTCAAAGTGAAACAATAACCAAACAAATTCCGTGGAAGTAACTCACATTGGGTGAACCATGTCAAAGCGCCGTGTTCTTATATGTGATTGTTGTCTCGATTGTATGACTTCATGTTATTAATAACAGTGCTGAGATCTGAGAGAAAACATCAGAGAGAAAATGAAGTTCTTTCTATTGTTCTTGAGAAAAATTTATTCTGCTTAGAATCATAACGCACATTGGCTAATCTGAGATTAAAAAACTGAATTACACAGATAAGCTAGCTAGTTTAGAGACTAAGTAATCTCAAAAATGCCAAATGGAGTCTAGCCTAGCGAAAAGGGTCTTGACTTGTATACCAGATGTCTCAGGTTTGAATCCCCATGACATCATAGTTGTGCGTGTGTGTGAGAAATCCTCATCCCCTATAGTTTAGACTATCGCTTGTACTATAAAAGTAATAATCTCAAAACCAATCAACTAATCAGACTAACTAATCAAAAGATGTGCTCCGTATTTGGATTAACCCTTTGTGGTTACTGCGCTTCCGTATTTGTAATAACCTTATATGGTTATTTGTATTTGTAGTGACTCGCCTCTGTACCTAAATTATAAATACAATATATTGTGTTTATAAAAAACAAAAATAAAACCTGCTTTCATTTGAGAATATTAATCTGTATGTTCAATTGCTGGCCAAAAAGAAAACTTGTGCATATTTAAGTTGGACATATACTGGCATCAATTGATTTTCTTAATTAGTACTTTTGCTGAGACCGTAGGTCCTTTTTGGACATGCACACTTTCTTTAAGTGATGAGATCTTTGTCCCCTTTTAATTAGGGGCCGCTTAGCTTGTTTCCCACATCATGCCCATAATGATGTTTGTGGATTCAAGTTGTATATAATAATGAGATTTATTACTGTTTATCCTAAATCATAGGCGAAGAGATTGTCTTCAATGCGAGCATACCACTATTAATAATACAAAGAGCTTAATAGAGATGAATAATTGATAACTTGTACCTTGGGAAAATGGTTAGATTAGCTGTTTTCTATGACTTCAACGATAAAAAAGGATTTCATAATGTATTTAGTGCAATAAGGGGTCATTTGATACGGCGGATTGTCATGGACTGGACTAAATACTATGATTATCTTAGATTGGCTTAGCCTGTCATAAGTTGGATAACACTTGTACTGCGTTTGGTCTATGTTTGATTGGATTATGACTAAAATATTTTTTGAAAAGTAAGTTTTTAAAAAAATAATTTTTTGACTTTTCTTCTCTCTCTCTCTCTCTTCCCACTTCTTCCTCTTCTTCCTCGTCTTTCTCTCTGCTTCTGTTCTTCTTCTTCCTCTCTGCATCTCTTTCATCTTCTTCGTCTGCATCCTCTCTCCTCTTCTTCTGTCTATTTTTCTCTTCATTTTTTTCGAAAATTTTCTCTTCTCTTTCTCTCTTATTCCTCTTCTATTCTATCTTCTCCTTCTCTTTTTTTTTCTTTCTAAATTTTTATGTTCTTCCTCTTCTATTATGTCTTCTCCTTGTCCTTTCATTTTATTTTCGAAATTTTTTTGATCTTCCTCTTCTATTATGTCTTCTCCTTCTCCTCTTTTTTTTGTTTTGTTTTGTTTTGTTTTGTTTTTTTTAATAAATTGTATCTTCTCTCTTCTCTTCCTCTTCTATTTTGTCTTCTCCTTCTTGGGTGGTTGTGCCTACTGCTTGTGGGGTCCCTGGTTGTGGGGAGCATGGGTTGGGTTGGTTGCTCGACGCTTGGGTCGGGACTGTTAGTCCATCCTCTCCAGACGGGTTTCTCTACGAACACCTAAGGAGGTGATTTTGGTAGGGCCCGTATTAGTTAATCCCACTTAAAATTAGAACCGAGTGAAACAAACGTGGGATAAAATCTTAGCCAAGCCAGTCCATGCTTGTACGTATATGTCGCTTTTATTTTCTTTTTAATAGGATGTTTGTGGATTCGAGTTGTATATAATAATGAGATTTATTACTGTTTATCCTAAATCATAGGCGAAGAGATTGTCTTCAATGTGAGCATACCACTATTAATAATACAAAGAGCTTAATAGAGATGAATAATTGATAACTTGTACCTTGGGAAAATGGTTAGATTAGCTGTTTTCTATGACTTCAACGATAAAAAGGGATTTCATAATGTATTTAGTGCAATAAGGGGTCATTTGATACGACGGATTGTCATGGACTGAACTGAATACTATGATTGTCTTAGATTGATTTAGCCTGTCATAAACTGGATAACACTTGTACTGCATTTGGTCTATGTTTGATTGGATTATGATTAAAATATTTTTTGAAAAGTAAGTTTTTAAAAAATAATTTTTTGACTTTTCTTCTCTCTCTCTCTCTCTTCCCACTTCTTCCTCTTCTTCCTCGTCTTTCTCTCTGCTTCTGTTCTTCTTCTTCCTCTCTGCATCTCTTTCATCTTCTTCATCTGCATCCTCTCTCCTCTTCTTCTGTCTATTTTTCTCTTCATTTTTTTTCGAAAATTTTCTCTTCTCTTTCTCTCTTATTCCTCTTCTATTCTATCTTCTCCTTCTCTTTTTTTTTCTAAATTTTTATGTTCTTCCTCTTCTATTATGTCTTCTCCTTCTCCTTTCATTTTATTTTCGAAATTTTTTTAATCTTCCTCTTCTATTCTGTCTTCTCCTTCTTCTCTTTTTTTTTGTTTTTTGTTTTTATAAATAAATTGTATCTTCTCTCTTCTCTTCCTCTTCTATTTTGTCTTCTCCTTCTTGGGTGGTTGTGCCTACTGCTTGTGGGGTACCTGGTTGTGGGTAGCATGGGGTCGGGTTGGTTGCTCGACGCTTGGGTCGGGACTGTTAGTCCATCCTCTCCAGACGGGTTTCTCTACGAACACCTAAGGAGGTGATTTTGGTAGGGCCCGTATTAGTTAATCTCACTTAAAATTAGAACCGAGTGAAACAAACGTGGGATAAAATCTTAGCCAAGCCAGTCCATGCTTGTACGGTGTAACAAACATGCCCTAAGAGTATAATTGAATTGAAATTAAAATGGGAAAGTCCATTAAGGATTTTATGCTAAAAAATTACCGGTTCTGATTATGACATAGAATATTTATCATATAATTAATTTTAGTCTTAGACGAAAATTAATCTTAGACGAAACCCGTAACATTTTCCTCGCTGTGACAAACCAAGATTACATATGTATATATATATATATATATATATATTCAACACGCTTTTACATTTGGAGACCTCTAATTAACTATGTAACTTCCACCTAAACTCATACCAAATCCTCTTGCAGCCAGGCAGGGGGGCAAAGAGAATTTCCAGTTTTAGGAAAGCTATTAGCACAAGGGATTGATTCTTAAATATTCAAAGATTGAATATACAGTCATGCATGTGATAATTCAAATTAGTATCTTCTCAGAAAATACCACGAAAATGAGTGTGCACAAATTAAACATGGCTAATTCAGTGTCATTTTTTTTTACATTCCACATAAAATGACTTGAGTCACTTGACTGCATGCATGCACGCCACCTTTTTATATATGACATATCGTGTGGCTCTTCGATCTGCAGTTTCTGGGAATATTATTTTTCGGTCGGCCTTGACGTTTTCTTGGTTTTCAGGGTTTCGATCCATGATGCTTTTGTACATGTGTAAGCATTTCTGTCATCATTTTCTTACAGACGGTTTTAAAAGTCAATATTTACAGAAGGGAAATTAATAATCACATAGGGAAGTTGAGAAAGAACGGGGAAAAAAGATTGAAATGAAAATGTAATGTAAATCCAACGCCAAATTCCAAGTAATATTATCATTAAAAAATCCCAGTCAAAATTTTATTTTCATTTTCCCGGAATGTGTGCGTTGTTCACAACGAGTAAACCACTGCTGCAAGCAACCGCATTGCGATTCAACAATCAAGGGTTTGATCAAACGCCCTTGTGTTGAACTGCAATGCAAAGTCTGAAACCAATTTAACACAAAGATAACATGTTGTAGGATATTATTATATAGCAAAGGAGATTAAAAATAAAAATAAATTGAGTTGATTGGATCTTAATTGTTACTTTCTTCGTAATTGAGTGGAAACTAACTGGTGGGATACTAGCTAGGGCTATAAATACCGTACTGGTTTCAAAAAGGCAAACGAAAAGCATAACCAGAAAGAAAGTAAAAAAGCTAGCTAGCATCAATATGTCTTCTGAGAAACCCGACTTCACTAAAGCCCTTTGGCCTAGTACTGGTCCTTCGCCGCAGCCGCCTTCTGAGAATGGTCCCCCGTTTCCAACTCTTAAGAAGTGTGCTGGAAAAGATAGGAAGAAAAATGGGAAGAAGAAAGGGAACGAGTGAAGAATTATGCAGCAGGTTCTAAATATAATGTTTATATATTTTTGGAAATATAATGGGGTATTTGTAAATATGCTTGCTTCTTTTGCAGATGTATAAATACAGAAGTTGTTTTCATTCAAATTTCCTTCATTAATTCAATTACCATTATTGTATTGTAAAAGGGGTGGCTGCTGCCAAGAATAAATTCCAACTCTAGGGTGTAAAAGAAACACAGTATATGTATTGTTTGATTTTGTTCCACAACTCTTGTTGCTATATTTCATTGTGTTTTTGGTTTGATAGTGTTTGCACCCAGTTTTGGGGCTCCCTTATCGGACATGAAAACTATATATGTGGCCTCCTCATCGTCCTAAAGGGATCTCTCTCTCTCTCTCTCTCTCTCTCTCTCTCCTCTCTCTCTCTCTCAGCCTTCGAGACCCTTATTCTTGTGTGTGATTGTTGTTTTTATGATTCTGTGGTCATTGATATCTATTTTTTAACCAACATGGATGCCGAGGTCTAAATATTTAACAGCTTTTATTTTTGGATCTTAATCTCCAGGACTAAAAAACTTCTGCATGTACTTAATTATGGACCACTTGTTACATAGAAACCAATCAGTTCATGAACAAAAAAAATAAGTGATTTCGTTCTTCGACTAGTGAGAAAATTGGATTTTAATCCTTGAATAATTTCAATTAATCTATGGTGTAGGATCCAATATTGACTCATGTCCCTTTGATCCTATTTCCATAACAGCATATACATGTTGAAGAATATAAAGTTCCACATTGGAAACTTGATTAAATAAATTATAACTTATAATAAGTGGTTCCACACCTAATAACACCGATGTCTTTTGTGATAAAACTCCACACCTATTCGGCTTTGTATGTGGTTTAGTTGGAGATAATATTGATGTGGCTAATAGTGGGGATGGCCCGTCACTCTGAAATTTAACATGGTATCAAAGCGGGTCAGCCTCCCACCCACACGTAAGGGTGCATATTGAAGAATATAAAGTCATACATCGGAAACTTAACTAAATAAATTGCAACTTATAATAAGTGGTTCCAATTCTAATAACACCGAGGTTTTTGTGATAAAACTCTGCCTCTATTGAGATTTGTAGGTGCTTAAGTTGGGGACAATATTGGTGTTGCTAGTAGTGGGCCGCTAACCAGTCTCTCTGATATTTAACAATACAATCCATTTCATATTTTAATTTTAATTTTTATTGGTTTTCTCATAGTGGTATGCTCACGTTGAAGACAATCTCTTAGCCTATGACTTAGAGTAAACAGTAATAAATCTTCTTATAATTATATACAACACGAATCCACAAAATCCTATTTAAAAAGGGAAGAAAAAAAAAAGCACATATATAGACATGACGTATGACTCATTTGTAGTTTTAAATCCTAACCCTAAACTAAGACAACATGCCAAAAAAAGAAACCAAGAGCGCAGCAAACATGCTATAAGCGGCCCCTACTTAAGATTAAGAAAAGGGAACAAAGACTCCTCATCACTTAAAGAAACTAGTACACATAATTAACAAATAACAAGGCATTGGTGACATGTCAAAAAAGAACCTACGGTTTCAACAAAAGTAGTAATTAAGAAAATTAATTGTTGGCAGTATCCAAATTAAATATGCACAAGTTTGCACATGTGGTGATGCCATGAACTCACTTCCTTCTAATCTCACTAATTCATACTTTAGGGCACCAAGCCTGCATATCCTATACAATGCATTTTATCACTGTGGCTTTGAATACCCTAAATTTTGTTTACGAATTTCTCAACTTTCACTTTTCATTAAAGGCCTGCTCCCATCCCCTCAATATATTTAAGCCCTGCTCCAGTCACCTGAGATTACTTATCTGTGTAATTCAGTTTTTTAATATGAGCTTAGCTAATGTGTCATGATGGTTATCTACTGTAGACGTCCCTGAACTATAGACCCAGTTGTAATCAGGTCCGTAACCTAATTTTTGAGGCAATTACATCCTTTAATTAGACAATCAGTTGCAATTAGGTCCTGCCGTAACAGAATCCGTCGAGATTGACCATGTAAGTGTCACATGATCTTGTTGTTCTGGGTATATTCGAATTTTCGTCATTTTGAACGAAACAAAATCCAATTTAGCGTTGAAGAAAGGAGGAAAGCACCTGAATCGAACCTTCGAAGCAGACATTGGAGTTGCAGACGGTGAACTATCCCTTCTGAGGCAGCCATTGGAGTTCAATTTGCTGCAGCAGTGACTGAGTGAGTGAGAAATTTTCTGTGTAAGCTTCGGAATTTGAGGTTGATCGGGGGTACAGTTAAAGGTTAAGGTTTCATTTTGGGGATAGTTGGGTTTTTCGTCCTTTTGGCTGATAGTGATGGAAGAATTTGACTTCCGTTGGGGTGGTGTTGCTCCTAAATACAGTAAGTGATTATGCCTGTTTGAATACGTATCAGTTGGTTTTGTTTTCATCTGTGTGGTCCATAGCTTTAAAAGATTCCTTACACGCTTTGCTTTATACTGTCATTGACTGCAACACTTAGGATTTTTTTTTTCCCTTCTTGTCTTCTATCTATGCCTCACACCAAATGGACTGAAGTTATTCCATAGCAATTAAAAAACTCACTGAACTGTGTACTATATATTTTGGTTTTGGTGCAAAACATTGAATTAAAACATGGTTTTGTCTGCTTTTATGATTCCAAAACAGGGGTGTGTGTGTGTGTGTGTGTGTTTTAGTATTGTTTTGACCCTTGTTTACTGTGCAGGTAACCATGAAAATTGTACTTTACAACTTCACCATGGGGGTGTGTTGGAAAGTGGGGAGTATAAAAATGGAAAAGTTTGTTACTTGGATAATGTTATAGAGGATTTTCTATCATTGGGGGACTTAAGAAAGGTAGGGAAAGGGCTTGGTTACAATGTAGACATTTCCAACCCCAAACCAAATCTAGAAATGTGGTATAGGAAGGGTGGAACCCATGGTGTAGATGAGCTTGAACTTATCAGCTCTGATGCTAAACTGGTTGACAAGTTGGGCCAAATGCCATGTAATAGGATTGTTGTGTTGTACTATACTGAAGTGGGAAATTCTAATATAGTTTGGAGTCAAGCATCTTTTGGGTGCCAAGGTTTGGATGGTGCAGACAATTATGCAGAGGTGCAACACAATGTTTAGGTGGAAGATGAAACTGAGGTGCAAGACAAAAGTCAGGTGAAAGATGAAACTGGGGTGCAAGATAATGTTGATGTTTAAGAGAAAGATGAAGCCGATGTTGTAGACAGCGAAGAAGATGATGGAGAATTTGTTGATAGTGATTAAGAGTTCAGTGAAGAAGAATTTGGGTTTAAGACAGTTGAAGTGTCTGTTCATGGCGGGGCAGAGGACACTATGAATGTTAGCAATGAGGGGCCTACTTTTGAGGCTCTTGGAGAGGTGTCATCAGATGGTGAGCACACCTCATATTTTGATAGTGAAAGTGAGGGTAATGGTGATGATATGGAAGGGGATACTGAAGGGACAAGTAAGGTGAGAAGGAGAAAAAAAATTGCCTCGGTTTAAGCAGTATAGAAGGGAGGTGGACTTAAAGAATCCTGAGTTTCGGCTTGGGATGCAATTTGAAAACAGACAGGTTCTTAAAAAGGCACTGAGGGAATATTTCATTATTCATGGAAGGAAACTGTACTTTGAAAAAAAAAATGACAAGACGAGAGTAAAGGCAATTTGCAAAGGAGGATTAAAATGTCCATTTGTAGTTTATGCTTCATAGATAAACTAGGATGTGCAAACATTTACAATTAAGAAGTTGAGCTTAGAACATACATGTGGGAGGGTGGACAAACTAAAGTTTGCTAATCCCAAATGGATTTGTGATAGATTTTCTAGCAAAGATTAAGAGAAACACATATTGGAATCTGAAAGCATTTCAAGGAGAAGTTTTGGAGTCCTATCATGTGAGGGTGTCCAAAACTCAAGTGTATAGAGCAAAGAGATTGGCTAAAGCACAAATTGAAGGAAACTACATACAGCAATATGCACGGTTGTGGGACTATGCAGAACAGTTGAAGAATACCAACAATGGTAGTACAGTGAAAATTAAGTGTGATCTGATTGGGGGTGAAGCAATATTTTAAAGGATTTATGTGTATCTGGCTGCTTGTAAAAAAGGATTTTTAGAAGGGTGCAGGCCTGTAATTGGGGTTGATGCTTGCCATTTGAAAGGTCCTTATCCTGGGCAAATATTGACTGTTGTAGGAGTTGATGGTAATAATGGTTTTTTCCCAATTGCATATTTTGTGGCTGAGATTGAAAACAAGGACTCGTGGATTTGGTTTATGTCTTTGTTGATTGAATAAATTTAGGTATTACAAATGGTTTATCCTGGGTTTTTATAAGTAATAAGCAAAAAGGCCTCATACCTGCCATTGCACATGTACTACCAACTGCAGGGCATAGGATGTGCGTCTGGCACTTGTAGAATAATTTCATAGCAACACATCTTGATCTCACTCTTAAACACATGTTGTGGGCAGCTGCCAGAGCCACTACTATTCCTTGGTGGGAAGCAGAAATGGAGAAGATGAAGGAAGAGGACCTGGAAGCTTGGAAATGGTTAGTACAGAGACCACCCAAAAATTGGACTAGATCTCATTTTCATCCGAGGTATAAGTGTGATCTTCTGTTGAATAACCTTTGTGAGTGCTTTAATGCAACTATAATTGATGTCAGAGATAATTCCATTTTGACATGTTTGGAAAGTATTCGAATGTATGTAATGCTTAGGATTGCTTATCAAAGGGCTGCTTGTGGTACATTGAAACACCCTGTTGGCCCAAGGATATTCAAAATAATTGAGAAGAACAAGATGGGAGCTTCTTAATGCATTCCTAGATTGGCTGGGGAGAAAATGTGTCAAGTCAATCACATGTATAGTGGGGAGTTTGTTGTAGATTTAAAAGCAATGTCTTGTAGTTGTAGGAGATGGGATTTATGTGGCATACCTTGTGCACATGCTATTTCAGCTATATTCCATAAAGATGAAAACCCTGTTGAATATGTACATGAGTGTTATAAGCTAGAGACATACATGAGATAATATGAACCAATAGTTCACCCCATCCCTTCTATGGATGAGTGGGTTAAGGGTGGCTTGTCTCCAATTAGACCTTCATTTCATAAGCGCCAACCAGGAAGACCCAAGAGAGTGAGGACAAGGGAGCCTGCTGAGGTTCAAGTACCAGCCTTAAACCTACCAAACCCGTTGCCTCCAGGTTACATTGCTCCACCAGCAAAACTTAGAAGACTCTTCATTAAAATTAGATGTGGAGCATGTGGAAAAGAATGCCACAATCGAAGAGGATGTGGAAGACAGGTTGTTTAATTATTTGGGTTTTCTTATGAATTTTAATTATTTGTGTTGTGGTAAGCTGTGGTTGTGATTTTTTATAGTTGTGCTTGTATGTTGTGCAGGCTAAGGCAACCGAAAATGGGAATGTTGGCCAAAATGAAGTTCAAGCAGCTGACAATGGAAATGCATGCCAAAATGATAATGCCCAACCCAAACTAATGCTGCCTCAGCCCAAACTTACACTGCCCCAACTCAAACTTACACTGCCCCAACCCAAATTCAAGTTAATAGGGGCAGAGGAACAGGAAGAGGCGTATGGAATCCAGCTACAAGGGTGTCATCTTCACAACTAGTTAGTTGCCTATTATTCTTGCCCAACTCAGATTTTTTATGTTTGCCTATATAGCAATATATGTTCTTTGTGGTTTTTATCTTAGATGGTAAGTGGTATCAGTCAAGGAAGGGCCAATCTGCCAATGACATACTCACAACAAGTGCCCTTGCAATGATCATCCTCTTCACTTACTCAAGAAACCACACCCTATAGAGGAAGATTCAAACATAGTGTAAAAAGAGGAGGACTAGTATAGACTGTGAAGACCTATTTTGTGGACTTTTAAGACCTATTTTGGACTCTTAAGTACTTACTATGTGGATGTGTATTTTGGATGAACAATTATAAACTCAAGTATGCTATTTGGTAATGTTATTTTGAAGGCTCTGTTGCCTATTCTATGTAATGTTAAGGTGTATTTTGGATTGTATGTAATGTGTCTATGTTCATTTGGTATACACTGCCAATTCAGCACAAAATTAGCTTATATAGCAAACCTTATACACTGCCAAAGAGGCACAAAATAACCTTATGCCTAGGTTTCTGCCCATATTTCTACACTAGCAATTCCTTCCCATATCCTGCCCATACTACCAATTCCTGCCCATTTTTACACTATGCTCATGCCATCAAAAGCTCTTTAAGAGTATATACAACATTACTCCCATTTCCTGCCCATTTCTACACTACCAAATCATCCATATTGATGAACAATATCACAATCATAAAACACAGTAGAACAACAACCCAGAACCACCTTTGTCTTTGTCGATAACTCAAAATTTCCCCTTTTAGTACAACAACTTGTTTACCCATTCCCATATTCTGTTTTTTCAAAATCTTAATTTCTTCTTCCTCTTCTCTCAGTTTTTGCTCTAACTTATTCTTCTCTTCTTCCATCAATCTGAAATTCTCCGCCGTTGCTCTCAATTCATCCTCCATTACTCTTAGTCTTCTAAGTAACCCAGGAAAGATTTCCTTTCCTTGTGGGCGTGTTTCATTCTCCACCCATGCGAAAAAATGTAACCCCCTTTTACTATTCTGCAATTCAAACAAAACAAAACACCAATTTCAGACCCAACAAAATCCATTTTTACTTCAACCAATCTTCTACAAGTACAAAAACTTACCCGATTATTGCAACATGCCTCAAATCTTCTTCCAGGATTCAGATTTGTCCATGAAGTTCGGCGTTTGATTTCCGACCCACACTAGCAGTAACAACGGCTGTAATTTGAATCTGTCGAACTCTCTGATATTTTCCTTCCCTCCCAGCCCCTTTTCAATTCTTCAGTTCTTCATTTGGGGGTCAAGTTAAGCTATGAAGCAAAGGGTTTAGGGTGTTCAAACTCTCAAAGGCGAGTGTTCAGACTCGAAAGGACGCTTTTACCCCTCATTTTGACGGATAATTTGATAGAGTTGGACGGCAGGACTTAATTGCAACTAATTGTCTAATTAAAGGATGTAATTTCCTCAAAAATTAGTTTACAGACCCAATTGCAACTGGACCATAGTTCAGGGACGTCTACAGTAGATAACCCTTCTTGTGAGCAGACTTCATTTTTCTCAAGAACAATAGAAAGAACTTCATTTTCACTCTAATGTTTTCTCTCAAATCTCATCATTGTTATTAATAACGTGAAGTAATGCAATCGAGACACGTATAAGAACACGGCACTTTGACATGGTTCACCCAATGTGAGTTATGTCCATGGAATTTGTTTGGTTATTTTTCACTATGAGTTTCCTTGGGAGAGTCTCAAAAGCTAAGGGACAAGAGATCCCTTTAAAAGGATGAGGGGGGCCTGTTATATAGACGAAGGGTTTGCCCTCCCAGCCCTTTACATATTTCCATGTGGAAGAAGTGAGGCCCAAAATATGGTACAATTAAACACAATCAAACCAAAAAAGACATGGATTGGTAGTTCTTAAATATAATGAATTATATATTGCAATCCCAACTTGTGGAACAAAATCAAATAATGCATGTATTTTTGTTATACAACAATGCAAATTGAAATTAAACAAATGTATGCCCCTCAAAACAAGCTTGTATCTATTTTGTACAAAGAGCTTTGAAGTTTGTAAATATAAATCTGCAAAGGAGCTTATTTATATATATTAAGACCTACTGCATAACCCTTATCACTAGTTCCCTTTCTTTTTCCCAGTTTTCTTCTTCTATCTTCCGAAAACATCTTGAACATTTGGCTGAACCGACGAACGTCCACTATTATCATTCTGAGGAGGTGGCTGAGACGTGTTCTCTCTTCTGAAAACATCCTGAACATTTGGCTGAACCGACGAATGTCCACCATTATCATTTTGAGGAGGTGGCTGAGACGACGAACCATGATGATCATTTGTGCTATGCCATAGGGCCGAAGTGACATCTTGTTTAGAAGACATTTTGGATGCTAGCTAGTTTCTGCTTAGTAAATCTATGCAACAAGCTAAAAGAATTTTGGTTACACATTTCTGCCCTTTGATATGTATGTATTTATAGCACCCCCTAAGCAACCCAATTTATTTATTTCTTATTCTTTTTTCTATATATCCTACCAAGCGGTCTCTGGGATGTATTGGTTTTTTCAGACTCTCTGCAATGCAGTCAGAGAAGGGCGCCTGAGAAAAATATAATTTGATTGCTTGTGATTGCTTGGAGGATTTATCCTCCTTAATCACACACCTGGAAAATGAAAATAAATTATTTACTAGGATTTTGCTTATATTAAACTAATATACGTCGGATTTGGCATGGGACTCTTTTTCTTTTTATTCATAATTAATTTTAGGTGATTAATTTTATTTTCTGTAATATTGACTTTCAAAGAGGCCAAATTTGAGTTTGTACGAGTTTTGATTTTTGGTCCTTTTACTATAAATTTTGGCCATTGCAATTTAAGGACAAAATCGCTAAAATTAATCATGGTAGGGTTATGGGAGAGTGCTGAGGAATATGATATAAAAAAGATTAATATAATTAACCACAACATGTGACAAGCATGTGCCAATTCTGTCAAGCAATTAACGGAAATATGAATGTGGATAGACAGTCAATTATAAGGCAAAATCGCTAAAATTAGATGTACAACGATCAAAAACCAAAGCACGAATAAGATATAGGGACCAAACTGAAATTTGTACCTAAGAAAATGAATGGAAAAGCTTGCATGTAGAAAAGCATGGATGAGAACCGTGAAAAGAATACAGGAACCAAAGTCAAATTATATATATATATATATATATATATATATATAGTCTCCTTCTATTGAGAAATTCCTCAGATAATTTTATTTGAGAGACATCTTTTGGGGTACCTTATGAATTTTTTCGAACGATCCAAACCATCTATTTTTTAAGTCTACATTCATAGATCATCCTTACAAAAATTAGACAAATCGAAAACCGTTTCGACATCCAATTGTATCCTACAAAATCAATGAACACGGTGCTTCAAGAAAGTACTAAAATTTCAATAACACAATTGAGTCGTCAAAAGATATCGGATTCAAGTGATTTTTTTTTATAGAGATGATCTTTGAATGATTATGTAAAACATAGACGATTTGGATTAGTGAAATACAATACGGAATGGCCCTATAAAGATATCCCTCAAATAAGCTAATTTGAAGAATCTCAATAGAAGTAGCTAATATATTGCTATATATCTATGCACAATGCTTAATGGAGTACGTTAAGGCCTAAGAAATTGTCAAGGCCTGCAAAAAATGATCTTCCCCAAAACAAACAGGTGGCATGCAAGTGGGATCATTACCATAGGTCCACACGTCCATGTACGTAGACTGAAAATTGCGAGAGAATTTATGGATATATATATATAAATTGTGAGGAAATTACTTTTATATAATACTCTTTATTATATATTTTATTTTGTAATCTTCTTTAAGTCCCCGCCAACGGGTCTAGCCCAATGAAAAGAGGCTTTGACTTGTAGATTAGTGATATTTTGTTTGAATCTCGATGGTACCTTAGTAGTGTGTGTGTGTGTGTGTGTGTGTGTGTGTGTGTGTGTGTGTGTAATCCTCATTTCCCTTGTAGTATACTATCGCTTGTATTAAAAAAATAAAATAAAAATCTTCTCAAGTCCCCTTCATTAAAATTTCCAATTTGAGAATGGTCCTTTTCTTTGTTATTTCTGAGAAGATGAGTGATGGACATTCATCATTTAGGTGTGGTTGTAATTTGAATTCTGAAATTACCGTTAAATTGATTTTAATTTGAATGTCTAAGTACGATCCCTTCTGATAATAGCTTTCGTGTAACCTACATTAGCACTCCAACTGAACTTCTCTTTTGACCCTCTAGGCTTCATTTTTAATTACCAAAAAACAAAATTATTTTTCTTTCGTCATCGAAGTGGTAATTATATAATTGCTAAAATCAGTATTAATTAATATGTTTTACGGTTCGTGTTCTTGTTCAATATGTTGACCAATCACAAGATGGCCTTTCCTTTTCTTGACAGCCAGATGCGTACTTTTGTGTACCGCGTATGTTCGTTAATTATCTTGAACTCTAATAATACTACTTTCAATAAATACTAAAACAAAAAAAAAAAAAAAAAAAAAAAAAAAAAAAAAGCAATGCTGAACAAGAACAAAAAAACCAAGTCAAGCAAATAATTAGATTCCATTTGCTAATTAATGCATTTGTTTATTACATTCTGGGTCATCTTTAGTGGAGACGCACCCGATTGTCTCAATATTGATGTTAGATTTCTCTGTAATTGCTAAAATAAAACAAAATCACTGCGAAAGTAACCATATTCTGGGAAGGGTTGGGGGCTTCAAAATTCAACTCACCATGCCCATTCATGGCCATAACTTAAGAGGACTTTGCTATGAGCTTTTGTGGAACTTACAATAAATTAGCCGTCTCAGAATGTAGAACCGTGTTGACCATATATAAACGTGGCTTGAATATAACCAACCCAGTTTTCATTTCATTTCCCCTTCTTGGTGGTTTACTAATTCAACTTTTAGTTTGAAATGCAAAATGGGCTTACAAGGATGATGCAAACGACGTGTCGTTTATATTCATGACTCCAATCCAACAAATTGGCACGAATATCCATTGTTACATCTTTACATTGTTACAAAATTCACTACTCTACCGCCTGCCTCGGATACTTCAAACTGTGACAAGATGAAGGGAATAATGCAAAACAGAGGTTTGCTAGAAGAAAAAGCTGCTGTGAATAATGCAAGCTACTAAGGGCAGTGCAACGATGATGCCTTCCTCACTTGAAAAAAGTAAACTACAATTCATCGAGGGACCTTTTATCACCATTCCCCAGTGAGAACATCCAACGGAACAGTTGAGATAACTTACTGGCTACAGGCTTCTGCTCTTGTTGTTCCAGTCTTACATTGCACACAGAATTATAGTCATGCTTCAAATGAGGAGTAACTATTCTTTCCTGGAAAAACACAGAATTATAGTCATGCTTCAACACGAGGAAAAAACAGAGAGCAACCCGTTAATAAGTTATAACTGAAACAGCTGGCCATTATTCGCCATTAAAAAAAATGTATGTAAAGAAATCTGTAATCCAATACAAATTACGTTCCTCGGGAATCTTCTAAGTTCAAAAGTGAAATCAAAGTCTGGAATCCGAAAATGTTTGAGAATCATATGAGTTAAAAATAAGCAAGAATGGGGCCTTACGTGCATTGGAATGGGATGTTCATTGTGCAGCACTTGCACAAAGTGCTTGTTTGATGTGTTGGCTGGACAACTGTACAGAACCAGCATGTTATTCCCACCAAAAGGTGCCACAGTATTGCCCCTCCAATTTCTCTTATGGGGAGGCTTTGGAGGGAGTTGCAAGGACTGTTCCCTCTGTATTTTTTGAAATTCTGAAATATAGAGAACATAACACCTACTATGAGAACAGAATATAGAAGAAGCCATATACATGAGCATCCAGATTCCCACCCTCGCAAAACCCAGATCATCCAAGCAAAATTAAGAATTTACTAATCACTCACCAGATGATGTCAAGAAAAAGTCCAAGCAGGCATGAAAATGGAACCACAGTTTCTGCATGTGCGAACCTTAGCCTTGCCTTTTCGTAACTGCCAGGAGCATGTTTTACTACAAAGAAAAGGGGAACGAGAGAGAGCGAGTGAGAATTGGAATACCAGAAGTCATAGCTTACACAAAATAAGATTTTGTAGGTTGAAAGTACAACTGCACAACAGCTTTCCCCCCCTTTTATAAGTTCAAATGAAAAGAAACACAGCGAGAAAACAAAGACATTGTAAAACTACATAATTCAAAGAATTCCACATTTAACTGAAGTCCAAATAGACACTGACATATCCGTGAGGTTTAATAGTCGTCAGGACACAGTATTATCCAGTTATGACAGCCTACCATTGGGTTACCTTCTTCAGCCTCAATACCCTGCTCCATGGACTGCACAACATCTTCAAGTAAGGGCACTCCCATTCTATAGTTTATTGATTTACCATACCCCTTTAATATAAAGGCCTCCAAATCATCTGTCTACTCCAGCAAAGAAACCTAAGCACAGGAGACTTTTTCGTGTAAATAAACAAACAAAAAACATTGAGATCACGTAAATCTGTCTTTACTGATATTACTAAACCACAATCTAAGGGGACAACTATTGCATTCTTCAAAGATAGATAGATAGATAGATATATATATATATATATATATATATCTTTGGTAATTCAGTTTCAGCACCAATTCACTTGCTGTGTCCTCTCCATTAATGGATTTACCTACAAGCTAAAGAGGCTAGTTTCAGCGATTTTAGTCGTCTACACAGTATTGGAGTCATGGCGTACACGTTCATATATCATATTCAGATTCAAAACAAAAATGTTAAACAGAATATCCTGATTATCATGGAAAAATATAAGAAATTTGGTTAATCTTGACAATATAAAATTCTGCATACCTCAGAAGGGCTGAAAAGTGCACAAGCTTGATCAACAATATTCAACAAGGACGCTTCCTGCCAAATAGAACAAACAACAGTTGACCATAAAATCAATTGCACTTCAGGGATAATTAATTCACAAGCTCAATCCACGAGAGCAACAAAATGAGTTTGTGTATGAAAACAGAAACAAAGCAATCACCTGTTTGCACAGAAACCACAGAGAAGTTGTATCATGCCTTGTAAAATTCAGCCTGTAGCGCCTTCTTACTGCAGAAGTAATTTCATCATAAACAGGTTCCTTAAGCTTATCAACAGCCGGCTCCTGACTCTTCTTAAACGCCTGCATACATAAGTCTTCGTCAACCAACAATTAAAGCACAGAATGGCAGATAAACCGATAGAAATGGGGGTTGTGACAACCCAGTCTGGTCCACCAACTAAGAAGGTGCATAATCAGTTTGTGCGTGTGCGTGTGTTCAAAAATCGAGGAAAATATCAGGACTGCAGAATGCCTTGTAGTTTTGGCAACAATCATGAAACCTTAGCATTGTATCACTTGCACGGAATTCGCTGGTTACAGCAAAAGCTCGATGACGCCCTGGTCCAAGACTTCCTTTCCTACTAAACAATCCCATGCCAAATGCCACAGCACTGGCTGATGCCCGAGGGACCTATCCACAGCCAGATAGATATAATTAACTTCGATCAGCTTAAAGTCTCAACCTGAAAATGAGAATTACTCCAAACATTGGAATAGAAAATTGCCAAGCCTAATAGATGACTATTATTCCATATTCAAAGTTACCAACAATCTATAAAATAAGGCTGACCGTGGCAATAATTTATCCTGTATAGGGAAAACATACTTTAGTGCCTTTATATAACAAAAAGGGAAGAAAGAAAACCCTAGAACAAACCTTACCTGTGTTGCTTTTATTGCATAAACATCTGGATGGCAATCAGAATTAAACAAATTTGGAAATCTTGCTCGAGTCCTGATCCCAAGATCATAGAGTTTATCCTCTCCTTAGATAATTAATTCTCCACCTTTCAGTTTTCCTTTCCAAGGAGATTTCCAACCCTTTAACCAACCAGGAAGTTTTTCCAAAGATAGGTTTTGTTCTTCGGCTTCTCTCAGTAACACCTCCAGATGAGCTGCCAAGTTGTCCAACTCTTTAATCCGTTTCTTGGTAGGAGAACGAGTTCCATGCCTTGCCTGATAATATAAGTTGTATAAGGAGCCTTAAATGTGCCATTCTCTAGTTCAGGCATTAAAAGAATACAAATTTATAAATAAACCCAATCCTAGACATGTATTTATAAAAAAACCCAAGCACTATTTAAACATAGAAACACACCCAAAATCAACCCCAAAGTCAACTTTTTGGGTGTGTTTATAAATGGGTTTTGAGTGTGTGTAATGATGGGTTTTGGGTGTGTTTATAAAGTGTTTTGGGTGTTGGGTTTTTTTATAATTTCAACCTCCATTTTGGGTGTTTTAGTGAAACTCCTAACTTGTGGAAAGCCAGCAAGCTAAACAATGGGCAGAAGTCATGCTAAAAAAATCGCATCTTATAACTAAACATACAACCAGAATACATTCATGCATACTATACATATATACAGACGCAAACTCACATTTCATACAAAACAAACTTATTTGCACTTTGACTCTTCAAATCTAAGTTATTCCTGATAGTAGAATCTATTAATGCCTCTTTGCGTAATGCTTGTGTAAGCACTAAACACACAAGATGAAAAAAGAAATTTACCCCAAGATTTAAGTGGATAGGAAAACAGCCATCTGGAATCTTCGATGGTACAAATGAACCGTCTGCAATGTCTTTCACAACACTGTATCTGCAACAAGATAGTTATTTATCTTTCCGCGATAATTCTACCCTCTATTGCTTGAAAATATTAATTCTTCAATTTAAAACACTTTCGGCAATTTACTCATAACCTAGCAGACGGCTAAGCAGTAAGAACCAACAATCTAGTAACGACAATCAATTGATCGTAGAACACGATTGAAAATAATAATAAAAAATGTAATAAATTCCTAATCAAATTAATGGGAAATTTTGATTTTGTGAAAGAAATACCTGGACACAGTAGAAAGGTGTTGGCGTACATCGAAAGCTTCTTCTACGGCATTTGAATGGATGAGTAGCGATAACAATACTAGCAGAACAGACGCCATGGCCAGCTTCATCTTCTGTGTCTCAGTCTGTCTCTCTGCATTAAGAATTTGAAGAAAGGAATAAACGGAAAACAAATTGGCAAAATAAAATGTTCAATTCTCGTTTAAATAATACAAATTTATAAATAAACCCAATCCTAGACATGTATTTATAAAAAAACCCAAGCACTATTTAAACATAGAAACACACCCAAAATCAACCCCTAAGTCAACTTTTTGGGTGTATTTATAAATGGGTTTTGAGTGTGTGTAATGATGAGTTTTGGGTGTGTTTATATGTTTAAATAGTACTTGGGTTTTTTTATAATTTCAACCCCCATTTTGAGTGTTTTAGTGAAACTCCCTTTAAATAAAGGGTTCAACTTTTATTTTTTTGTTGGCGGTCCATATTGCTTGAAAGTAAGCAACAATAATAACTACAAACATAACAAAGAAATTTTATTGCCTGCCCTTCGGAGACGGTCCAAAGCGAGGTAGGCAATCTGAGGTTCCGAAGGCCATCTTCTCGGTGGAGGATGACGAGGGCATTGCCGAAGCTGTCAATATTGCCTGCCCTTCGAAGACGGTCCAGTTTGCGAACCATATGATCCTTGGTTCGCAAATGGAGCTGTCGGAGATAGAGGCTCTACCGAAGAAGATCCTTCGGGAGGAGGCTGGGCGCGCCTTCCGACTCCAGGCCTCGGTAAGTATATATCACTACATGGTTACCATTCACGTATATACTTGTGCTGATTCATGTGGTTTTCCAGGCAACGATGGACATGTGGCTGTGCATGAAGCGAGCCATTACTGCCGCCGAGCGCGCCAAGAAGGCCTACGAGGATGGTCAGGCCAAGGTTGCCGAGGCTGGGAAGGCGCTCCAGGACCACGACCATCTCCTGCATGATAAACAAGCTACCAAACGGCAGGTCAAGGCTTCCGAGGCCAAGCTTGCGGAAATGCGTGCAGCTCTGGAGTCGGCGGTGACGGCGACGAGGGATGCCGAGGCAGCTAAGGAGGCGGTCCAGGTGGCTCTTGTGGAGTCAGAGCGAGCTAAGGCAGCAGAGATCGAGGCTGCCTTTCGGGAGGCGGTACAAAGTTATCGTTCGTCCTCAGAGTTCTCCAACCTTCTAGACGAGGAGGTGGGCTCTAAGATGGCGGGTCTGCTCTACCGTTTCAAACGGTACAACCCAGGACAAAAGCTCAACCTCAACTTTATCTCCGATCCTCCTCCTCTTCCTGAAAGTATAACTGAGGAGATGATCGAGGACTACGAGGGAGAGGATGCCCCAGAAGAGGCTCCTGCCGTCGAGGCTGCCACCGAAGAAGCTCCTGCCGAAGCCGCTGCTGACAAGGAAGGCGTTGCTTAGTTAGCTTTGTAATTTACTGTATTTTTTTTTGTACCTGCCATAAGGCAGTGGTTCCGAACACCTTGATGCCGAGGACATCTATTAATTTAAGTTCTACTTTCCCACATATCTGTTCAATACAAAGTAGGTTTACTTTCGGTACACTTCTGTTTTAACTGTCTTAGTAGCCGAAGGTTAGGAACCGCAATCGGTAAGGCGCTTAAGAACCTCTTTTAAATGTCGAGGGCTAAATAATAGGTTTTGAGCAGTTTAAATGCCGAAGGCTAATAAAAGGCTAACTTCAAAGTGCAGTTTTAATCGGAAGGAAGCTGAAAAACTAATCAACTTAATTGCCGAAAGCTAAATGATTGATTTAACTTCCGAAGGCTAGTAAAAACTCAAATTTGAGTGAACCTTGAATCAGTAAGCTACTTAGGGCTTTATCATTTTACTGCCGAAGGCTAGTAACAGAATAATTCTGAAGTTAACCTTCGATCGATAGGAAAGCAGACCGTGGTACCTTAATTGCCGAAGGCTAATAAAAGGATTTTAGAATGTGGTATAATGCAACCGATGGTCCCTACCGTATCCTTTAAACGAAAAGAAATTAATGAACACACCGAAAGCTGTAAATATATAAGCCGAAGGCCTTTTCATTAACTGGTGCCGAGGGCATGAGTACAGTTTCTTTGAAATACATTTTCATCCTGCCGTAGGCTAGGTGACTTCATTTAAAATAATATTTCAAATGCTCTACGTTCCAAGGATGGCCGAGGGTCTTTCCGTTGGAGTCTCTGAGCCGATAAGTTCCCAATCGTTGGATGTCGATGATCTCGTAAGATCCTTCCCAGGAAGGTCCGAGGGTTCATTCCGTGAGGTTCTTAGTTGCCAAAGAGTATTTTCGCATGACCCAATCGCCGATTCGGAAAGAGCGGGGTCTGATCCTTGAGTCATAATACCGAGAGATGCGCTGTTTGTAGGCTTCATTCTGAAGGTTGGCTTGCGCTCGGCGTTCTTCAATCAGGTCGAGGTTTAATGTAAGTGCCTCCTCATTTGCTTTCGGTGCATAGGTTTCCGTTCGGTAGGAGGACTCTCTGATCTCCACAAGAACCACTGCTTCCGAACCGAAGGCAAGAGAGAAGGGGGTTTGCCCAGTTGTCGTTCGGTAAGATGTCCAGATGGCCCATAATGCTTCTGGAAGCTTCTCCGGCCAGGCTCCTTTTGCCTTCTCAAGCTGCCGTTTCAATAGCTTATTGACTATTTTATTCATTGCTTCGACTTGACCGTTTGATCTTGAGGTGAGTGCAGAACTGCCTAAAGGCTTCCGAGTCGAATTGCCTACCGTTATCGGTGATGATGGCGTAGGGGATACCGAATCGGCAGCAAATGTTCGTCCAGATGAAATCTTCCATTCTGGCTGCCGTTATCGTTGCTAAGGCTTCGGCATCTACCCATTTGGTGAAGTAGTCCACGACAACCACATCATATTTGACCTGACCCTTGCCTTGCGGCATCGAACCTATCAAGTCTAGTCCTCGTTGGGCGAAAGGCCATGGGCTTACGATCAGTGAGAGAGGCTCAGCAGGAATGTGAGGGACACTACCGAACCATTGGCATTTGTCGCACTTCTTGACTAACACGTTTGCATCTTGGTGTAAAGTCGGCCAGAAATACTCCTGCTGGAAGACTTTGTGTGCCAGCGATCGGGACCCTGAATGGTCACCACAAACTCCGCTGTGGACTTCCCAAAGGACGTAGTCCTCTGTTCTTTGGTGAGGCATTTCAGATACGGCGTGTAGCCTCGCCTGTACAGAACATCATTGATGACTATGTATCTTGTCGATCGGTACCGTAGCTTCCGGGCTTGGGACTTATCGATGGGCAGCGTTCCGTTCGTTAAGAAAGCCTAAATTGGAGACATCCATGTGTCCTCATACCGTACGGCGCATACTTCAGCAGTTGTCGTGCTTGGCTGGGACAATATCTCCACCGGCACCTTCCTTCTGATCTTGTCGTTTATTGCCGAAGCCAAACATGAGAGTGCATCGACGTAGCTGTTTTCTGACCTGGGGATCTGCCGAATCTCGTAGGCCTGGAACTTTTGTAGGAGTTGGTGAGCTGCCGATAGGTAGGCTGACATAGAGGCATCCTTGGCTACGAAGTCTGCCGTTATCTGGTTTACTATGAACTGGGAGTCACTGTGAATGCTGATTTGTTTTGCGCTCATGCTCTTGGCTAGCCGAAGGCCAGCCAAGAAAGCCTTATACTCTGCCTCGTTGTTAGAGATTCTGAAGTTGAATCAGAGAGCATATTCGACTTTGTCTCTGTCTGGAGTAGTCAACACCAAGCCAGCTCCACAGCCTTGTTGATTTGCCGAGCCATCGACATGCAGGATCCATACAGGAATGGAGGGATCAAAGCGTTCGGCATTCAACTTTTCTGGTTCCAAAATAACAGCGTTCGGAAAGGATGGTTCCGATGGTGTTGAAGGTGTGAGTTCGGAAATGAAGTCGGCGATAGCCTGACCCTTCTCGGCAGGTCTTGGCTTAAACTGTATGTCGAATTCTCCGAGTTCGATCGCCCATTTGATCAATCGACCGGATGTTTCTGGGTTTTGTAGTACCTGCCGAAAGGGTTGATTAGTCAGAACAGTGATCTCGTGCGCTTGGAAGTATGGGCGGAGCCGTCGGGTTGAGATCACGAGGGCTAGTGCTAGCTGCTCCAAGGGAGGGTACCGAAGCTCTGCGCTCTGAAGTGCCTTGCTAACATAGAAGATCGGTAGCTCTGCCTTCTCTGGCTTCCGTATCAATACCGAGCTAACGGCAGTGTTGGATACCGAAAGGTAGAGGAGGAGAACTTCTCCGGGGAGTGGTTTCGACGATAGTGGTGCCTTGCTCATGTAGTTCTTCAAGTCTTGAAATGCTCGGTCGCACTTGGAAGTCCATGTGATATGATGTTTGCCCCCTTTCAAGGCTTTGAAGAATGGTCTGCACCTATCGGTGGCCTTGGAAATGAAGCGCGTTAGGGCGGCGACACGTCCGGTAAGGCTCTGAATATCCTTTTGTGTCTTCAGCTTTTCCATATCGATGATGGCTTTGATTTTCTCGGGATTGGCTTCGATTCCCCTTTGGCTGATTACGAATCCGAAAAACTTCCCCGAAGATACACCGAAGGCGCACTTCATTGGGTTCAGCCTCATTCGGTAGTATTTCAGTATACCGAACATGAGGGCTAAGTTTTCCAGATGCCCCCCTGTCGTTCGGCTTTTCACCAACATGTAGTCGACATACACCTCCAAAAGGCTGCCGATGTGTTTAGCAAAAATCCGATTGACGAGCCGTTAATACGTTGCCCCAGCGTTTTTCAAGTCGAAAGGCATGACATTGTAACAGTACAACCCGCGGTCGGTGATGAAAGCCGTATGCTCGCTATGGGCAGGGTCCATGAAAATCTGGTTGTATCCTGAATAGGCGTCCATGAAGCTGAGCAGCTCGTGTCCAGCGATTGCGTCAATGAGCTAATCAATCCTCGACAATGGGAAGCTATCCTTCGGACAGGCCTTGTTCAGGTCGGTATAGTCTTGACACATTCGCCATCCGCCCTTGGCCTTCCAAACCATAACTGAGTTGGCAAGCCAGACAGGGTACGTAGCCTCCCTGATAAAGCCGATGGCTTTAAGCTTGTCAACTTCGGTATGCATAGCCTCATACCGTTCGGCATCATACGAATGGTGCTTCTGTCTAACTGGTTTATAGACGGGGGAGATGCTGAGCTTGTGGCTGATGACGTCGGGTGATATGCCGAGCATATCATCGTAAGACCATGCGAAGACCTCGGCATGATGTCGTAAAAAGTCAATGAACTGCGTTCATAGGTCGGGATTTAGTGTGGTGCCGATCTTTACGCACCGATCGGGATGTTCCTTGCTTAGTATCACCGTTTCCAGCTCCTCGGCAGGTTGTGCTAACGGTGTCGGTGTTTCCTCCCTTGGGTCGTCTATAGGCCCGCTACCGTTCGGTACCTCTCTCACCGACATTGCTTTCATTGGAGGTTTGGGGCTACCAATTTAAGGGCCGTCGCATAGCAAGTCCGTGCGCTGAGCTGGTCCCCTCGGAGAGCGTCACTGCCGTTGCTGGTTGGGAATTTCATTAGCAACATGTGGAGGGACAAGTGTGCTTTGACTCTGGTTAGTGTCATCCGTCCTACGATGACGTTGTATGCCGTTGGGCAGTCGACGATGAGGAATTGGTCGTACATCATCGTTTTTCGATGGGCAACGTCGAAGGCGATGGGCAGACTGACACTGCCGACTGGTTGGACCAGATCTCCAGAAAAACTGAGTAGAGGCGTTATCTGCCGATTAACCATGTTGTCGGTAATGCCCAATCCTCTGAAAGCATCAGCAAAAATTACATTTATCGAACTTCCAATGTCGATCAGTACCCGACCTACATCGTAATCGGCGATTTCGGCCCGAATGATCATCGGGTCATCGTGGGGGTAAATGATCCCTTCTTTCTCTTCTTCGCAAAAGGTGATGGGCTCCCAACCCACCTTTGGGACCTTGTGGGTAGTGAGCGGCACGCACATATTGTTTCACCGATCGGTTAGAGGGTCCTGCCAGAGTGGTGCCTCCGCTGATGGTGCTGATCATATTGATTTGCCAATTCGCGTTTGGGGCTGGTGCTTGCGGTGGTCTGGCAATGTATTGATCCAGTTTTCCTTCCCGAATCAGGCGTTCAACGATCTTCCTGAGACTGATGCAGTCTTCGGTGTTGTGGCTGTTATGCTGGTAGTATCGGCAGAATTTACCGGTATCCCGATTGTCCTGCCGATTGGGCTTTCGGTTGTTTGGTTTCGGGATTTGGTCGTGTTCGTTCATCAAGACGGCCTCATATGTAGTATTCAACAGGGTGAAGACTTCCTGAGCGCGGTCGTGATTCGATAGTGGCGTTTGGTGGTCGTTGTGACCGTATTTCTCACGCCCCTTCTTCGAGCTTCCCTGCCGATTATCGCGGTCGTCCTTTCGCTTGTGACCCGCTGAAGAGTCATCAGCCCGCTTGGGAGGGTATGATGATTCTTGCCCAGGATAGCTCTTTTGTGCTGATTCCTCCCGCCGTGCCAAAGTCCCGGACTTGGAGTTGAAATATTCAGCCTTAGCGTGGACTGCCGCCTGCTTCATCAGTTTGTCATATGTGCGCTAGTTGCTACTGTGCACAAGATACCTAAAGTGAGAGGACCGAAGGCCACTCTTGAAGGCGCCGTAGGCTGCCCTATCGTCCGTTTCCGGACACCTCGAGTATTCATGACTGAAGCGCGCAGCGTATTCCCGTTGGGGTTCGTCTTCTCTCTGCCGAATCATGTACAGATCGTCGGCGGAGTACAAACGGTCTATCTGGATCATGAAGCGGTTGAGAAAAATCTGTTTCAGTTCGTCAAATGAGTCTACCGTTCCTGGTTCAAGACGGTATAACCAATTCAAAGCGGCTTCGGTAAGGGAGGATAGGAATAACAGGCATTGCCCTTCATCGCTAAGGCCCTTGCATCCGACTGCCGATTGGAAAGAGTGAAGGTGCGTCAAGGGGTCCTCCACGCCGGTGTAGAACGGTATGCGCAACTGCTGTACCTCCCTGTCCTGCCTGTACTTCTTGATGCGTTCGGTAAAGGCTCCCTGCCGAAGTTTCCCCCAATCAGTTTCTTGGGACCGGGTTCGGTTGTTTTCCATATTCTGAATTCTCTGGAAGAGCAGACGGATAATGGGGTCTCGACTTGGAACCTCCTTGGAACTGTAGTCTTCGGAAGTTCTCCGCGGACTCGGTGGTCTTGCCTTTGAATACTCCGTGGGAGTTTCCGAACGGTAGCTCGATTCGGTGTCTTTGGAGGAGACATATTCGTGTTCAGATTCTACCTCCGACTCCAACCCTTGGACCTTCCTAAGGGGTGATTTGTTTCCAAGGACCCTCATCCGTGAGTCTCGTAGGCGGGCATTAATCCTGATCGGGGATCTCTGCCGTTTGTCCTCCTTGTCGTTAATCCGATGGCAACAATCGATGTAGACCTTCTTCGGTATGTGAGGCTGGTCCCATGGAGCCGGGACTACCAATTGTTTGGAAGGCGCAGGCATTGCCTTTGCCCCTTCTTCCCCTTCTTCTGCCGACTGGGAGTCTGCAGACTTTGGGAAGGTTCCGTAGTTTGGATATTCTGCGTTTCCTGCTGATTAAGCAGCCGCTCGGTTTCGTCTACTTTGGATGAGAGGAGGTTGTTATGTTCTTGGAGCTTAGCCATTTCCTTCCGAAGGGAAGTCATTTGGTCCAGAAGCTCCGCTTCGACCGGTGGATTACCGAAGGGAGTGCTAGGGGGCAGCGCAGGGCTTGCTCCGCTTGGCCTGCCGAACGGTAGTCCATCCTCCGTTAAGAACGTTGGTACTGAAGTGGTTCCCATGTGTTTTATAGGAATTGTAGGTCGATTCTTATCGTTTCCCGCAGACGACGCCAAATTGTTGACGCAGAAAAATGGTTCGGCACTTTCCCGCGCAACTTAGGGCTCGTTTGGGAGTGCTTCTTCCTGAAGCGCTTATGCCAGTAGCGCTTATGCCAAAAGCGCTTATGATATAAGCGCTTCTGTAAAGAAACAATTTGTTGTTTGGATGTCACATTTAAAAGTGCTTTTACACTACATAAAAGTGCTTTTGATATTTTGTTGAGTGTTTGTCTAACACAGTAAAAGCGTTTTTAAAAGTACTTTAAAAAAGTTTAAAGAATCCCAAAATACTATAATAAACATAGGAAATAAAAATTATATAGAGATGGATCCCTGCAAAAGACCAAATCCTTGGTAGTTAATTAAGGAGATAACATAGAGATGGATCTATGAAATCAGGCAACAATGGGGTCACAGGGCTGGGATTTGCAGCATTGTTAAAATCAGTAGACCTACATTGATTATCATAATGCTACATTGAAAAAACAACTAACCTTAGAATCACATATCAGATAAATAATTGAATGTTTGAACATGCAATTTGAGAATGCTTTGTTCAATTCCACTAAACTCGTCAAACCAATTCCTTTGTTTTATCTTCTTGGTTTGAGAATATAATGACAACTAGTATAGCAAATCTCCTTCTTCCTAAAGAATTGGTTTGAGAACACATACCCCACTTACAAAGCATTTCTTAGGCTCTAGTTTCCAAAAATACTTCCATATACAGTTTTCAGAAAACAGTATAAAACAATGGCACTACAATTTCTTAACCCAAAACTGAAAAATTATTTTTAAAACAATACGTTTCCAGCTTTCCAGCTTGTTATGAACACCCTTTTGGCTGCATTGATTCCAGATAGTATGCAAACGATCAAATCAATACAGATTGACCCAAATTAACATATGAAAATTTTACTCATGAAACAAAACAAAAAGAAATTGACAAGTCCAAGCATACAAATTTCAAAAAAGAAAAAAAAAATTCAAAAACATGAAAAGGACTTCAAGGCAGAGAAGATCCAGTTTCATCCAAATCATAAAAAATCATAGAAGAACATATCCAATTAGAGAACTCAGATAAGGAAATCCAAAAACAAAGAATACCCAAATGGTTTTTAATGATTAGAATACGATCTGCAGGACAAGCAAGGATGGCCATGACCTTCAATTTATAGTCAGATCTTCTACCCGGAAAGAAACCATGAGGCCAAGAGAGAGAGAGAAATAACACGATGATCTGATGCGAAGCAAGCGATAGAAAATATGAGGGTATTTTGGCGTTTTAGAAAATTAAATAGGGATATTTTCGGTGTTTTGAAATTTTCATTAAAGGGAGCCAAGTGCTTCCCGTGTATTCACTTGGCAGCACTTCTATGAAGAAGCATTTCTCAAGTGCTTCTTAAAAAACCACTTCAAGTGCTTTTGAATCCCACCCAAAGCACTTTTACATTTTCTGCCAAACATCATTTTTAGAAGATGGAAGTGCTTTTACCCATTTAGAAGCGCTTTTAGCAATTTCAAAAGCACTCCCAAACGAGCCCTTAGTGATGTTGGGCCTTCGGTATGCTCTGGGTCTCGATAGGGCATGCGATCTGCAAGATAGCAAATGCTCGGTAAGACCTAGGGCACCGGTGTGGTACCGGCCGAAGGCTCTCCGATGCTTAAGTAAGTACGGATTTAGTAAAGTTGAATTACAGATCAATAGGCAGTATGCCGTAAGTTCTTATTACCCCAATTCTGGGGAATTGTGCTTCCTTTATAGTCTTTAGGAGGTGTGCATGTTGTGTAGATTTTCGATGTGGGACTGTGGACATCAATTGTGAGCTTGCCACGTGTCCTAGAGAAGGAGGTTGCCCTAATTGTTGGATCGGTAAACTAGGTGCCGAAGGCTACCATGACTTATTTCGTCTACGTGTCAGCTTCTCATTGGCTGTTCATTTTGGTATAAACAATAATTTTTTTAAATGATCAGGGATCTGGCAAGCTTGAAGCCTTCATCGAGAAAAGGCGCAGGAAGAATGCTGCAAAAGATCACAGATTCATGCCATACCGTAGGCCTGACAACACTGAGCAACAAATTTAATGACTTCACTTGGTTCTGGAGAAGCAGAGTAAATTTTCTTATTAGCTGAGTGGCATTGGGAGACTACTGGGTAGTGACACGGTGAGTTTGCTTGGAAAGCTGCAAATTTCAGTAAATTTTGAAGAAAAGCACCAAAAAAGTTTTTTTTTTTTTTTTTTTTTTTTTTTTTTTTTTTTTTTTTTTGTTTGTATTTATTTGGAGTTGTCAAATTTGGATGCGGGTGGCAGGGTGCCAAAGAGTAATTCCAATGATCTTTTTATTATTTGGAGCTGCTATATTTGCTCGCTATTTCATTCCTTCAAATGCAAATGGTAAAACTAATTTTGATTTATTTAAAATATATCAAATGAACTTTCACCCTCTCTCTTCCCCACCCAGCCAAGCCCAGAGCTTTGATGAAAGTAGGAGCCTTGCTGCTGGTGGGAGAACTAGTATTAGTGGGCATACAAAGAGTTGAGCCAGAGGCCATTGGAGACATGTTGAAGATTCAAAACTGAAAGAACTTGTGGCCCAATATGGTCCTCAAAACTGGAACCTAATAGCTGAGCATCTTGATGGCAGAGGGAAGCATCATCACTCTCAAAACACAACAACCCATCACCATTTCATCTGCCAAATACAACACCATTCACGTAGCCAAAACCCATAACAGTTTCATCTCCTCACACTCAGAATCAAATTTAAAGAATTGTTGAATAAAAATCAAATTCACAGATTGAATTTTGTAAGGAAAAATTTGATATGATAATCCTTAATCTCCAGAAAATAAAAATTCATTGTCTACAGAACTATCATCATCCCATCATCCTTCACGAAAAAATTGGTGCCACCCTTGCCGATCAATTTCTCACCACACTCAGATGTTGACATCGTTGAAAACCCAACCCCCACAACGTCATCCGGCATCGTCACAAACCTTCGATCTACGAAACTCAGGTGGTTGGGTCATCGCCGACCTCGAAAACTGAGCGACGTCGTCGCAAACCCAGATGCCGAATATGCCATTATGTATCTGACGATGCGCAGATCTCCTCCTCGAATCGCCGACCTCACCATCAGAATGAGGGGGTCCAGATCTATTGGCTACATGTTGTGTCGCCGACCTCACATAGAGACAGAGAGAGACGGAGGCAGAGCGATAGGCGAGGTGGCTAGGGCTCTGGTATTGGCTAGGGCTATATCTAAAATGCTTTATAATCCCTCGGTTTTTACATCGATCTTTGATTCCATTGTTACTGAGGCCTTGTTATGAAAAAAATACTTGCTAAGATATTCATGAAACTTGCATGCATTATATTCTTTTGATGGTTGTTGGTCTTGATACTGTAACTTTATGGACCAAGTAAAGACAGAAGTTACATATATATATATATATACGGTGCGTTGTGTTAATGTAAAGATTGATCTTCTCATAATCGTCTCATGTAGTGTAGGATTTTCCTAAGAAAAGAACGTGTAAAATAGGGAAAGCTCTCTTCAAAATGAAATGATTGTTATTAAATGAACTGTAAATGTAATTGAGTACACCTTACTATTTAAATCTAAATATAAAATTAACTAAGTACACATTTATACACTCTATCACACACAACACCCTAATACCAATCATAAACTAACTTTCTTTTTTTACATGAATTCGTGCCCTCTTTTCAGATTTTGGGTTTGCATCAAAATCTTTAGTTTTGTAAGCTGTTGTGGGAATAGATTTGATAGCTCCTTCAGTTCAAAGCTTGATTTTTGTAAATCCTTGTGATTTTATTTATTTATTTGAACTTGTTGCCCTCCAAATCTGTTCTATCATCTTATGAAAGTTTTATGGTTTCCTTATCTTTTTTTTGGGTAAAGTGAAAGTGTTCCACACTTCTTTTACATAACAAGAATTGTCAATAAAAATAGTAATTAATGTCACCAACTGATGCCTCGCAAAACTAATCAATAAATATAAAGTCATTATCATAAGGGTCCGCTACACCAGCTTCATATCTAAACTGACGTATTTGATCCTAATATGGTGTAAGCCAATCTGATGCAGTTATGGTTGCACATCTCAACCAACGCTCATCAACTGATGGTATGGGGTGTTGACCTTCCAAATAAACCTGTAAAATCAAAGAACTTTAATTAATCTAGTTATGCGAAAAGAATAGTAAGCAAGCATATTATTAAAAGTCAACTATAGACCCGTTACTTCTCCTAGGTTGTTGTTGAGGCCCAAAAATCCAAGGGCTAGGCCCAGGGTTATCCTTAGCCCAACTCAAATAAATCGCGAGAAAGGCCCGATCAGGACATAAGGGAAATTGAAGAATGCGCTTATATAAGCCACGGGTCATGAGTCATGCCAAGCAAGCATGTGCAAAAAGACCAAAGTACACCGACTTTATGAATTCACGCTCACCTAATCTGACGCTATTTGAGCCAATCATGGCCTATTATAGCGCAATAAAACTCAAGCACAAGCATAGATGCCATGCAAAAGAACCACTGTTCTAATACCAAGCTATGCCACAAAGTGGGCCCAAGCCACGAAAATTATCCGGGGCTTGCTAAGAATGTTGTGGTATGGAAGCTAACAAGCAATCACGGTGCCCATCGAGGGTTTGAGGAACGAAAGTTTTAAGTCACTTGGGAGCATTAAGACTCAAGCCCGTTCCTCGAGCCCAAATACATGGGTTAGCATGAGAGAAAAGGGAAAAATGGTCCAATGCCTTAGGAGGACATTTAGTAGCCTGCCATAACACTTAGATAAGCCCACATCAATAGAATGCCCAAAATTAATAAAGCCATTTCCAGCAGCTTGACAAAAACCTATCAAACGCTGGAAATAATAGGCCAATAACCCAATACAATGCATACAAGGCCAGCCCAACAACTCGTAAAAATCTGGCACCAAGTTCCACCCCTGTTAGAACTCCAAGGACGGTCAACGAAGGAGCCATGGCAGGGACCGAAGGAAATCCATGAAGGTAGGAAGAATACCCATCAGACAAAAATCTCTACCCATCTTCTTGTCCACTATAAGTTCCATTTGGAAAATCAAGAAGGAAAGCAAGTGGCACCTCACCCTCATGGGGAGGTCTAGTTGCATCAAAAACTTGGAACCACAAAGAGCTCCTTACCCATGCACCTTGGATAGAAAAAATTCACAAAATAGGATTGAATGGGAAGAAGCAAAGAAAAAGGTAAGAGGAAGGATAGATAAAATTAGGGTTCTTTGTGCCTATAAAAGGGAACTTCCTCTACCCAGCAAATCCATCATGCATAGCCTAACCAAGCTTTGTCAAGCAATTGAGAATTTACTCAAGCCACCCAATCTTCCTTTTTGTTCGTTTTCTTCTTCTCTTAAGATAGAAATCATTCTGCCCCCACTTCAAACCTTCTTTCTCTGTAAGAAATTCATGCTTCTCTCTCTCTCAAATTGCTAAACTCATGAAAGCTTAGCTCCCATGCCACAAGCTCCTCAAGCTAAGCCACTAATTGACTTATCATGTTTATTTGGCTATTGGTGAAAAGAACCTAAGAGTGTTTTTTCTAAAGTTTCATCAAACTTTTCAAAAAACTCTTATGGGAGCTTGGTCCTTGAACTCAGGCACTTGGGGAATTTCGTTCGTTTTCTTCGTACGGCAGCCCAAGCTCATTCGTCAGGCTGCTGGAACAAAAAGACAATGAAATATAGCAACAAGAGTTGTGGAACAAAATCAAATAATACATATACTGTGTTTCTTTTACACCCTAAATTTGGAATTTATTCTTGGCAACAGCCACCCGTTTTACAATATAATAATGTTAACTTAATTAATGAAGGAAATTTTAATGAAAACTTATGTATTTATACATTGTCTTATTAAGAGTACAATACGGAAAAACCAGTCGTGAGAGTGAGAGACTACTGATATTATTCAAAACAATGATAGACATGGTTATTTTGAAAACGGGGTCTTGTTTCTAGACACTTTCTTTCATGGTACCAAACCAATTTGCCCAAAATGACCAATTACATTCAATTTTAATCGGTTTTGATGATTTGACTGATTGAAGCGGATCCTAAATTTCCAAAATCAACATGATTGGATCGCAAAATCTAATCAAATTCAATCCCTAGTTAGATTCATGATTTTTTTTTTCTCTTGTAGGTAATTGAAATTGAAAAACTAATATGAACATTTTTTTTAAGTCATTCGATGGAGTATGTTTAATACATTATAGAATCAAAACAATTTTCTTCAGCATTTAGTTTATATTTTACATTCACATCTATTAAAATGTTTGATTAGATCAAACTTGACCATAAAGGTTTCGTGTTTCATTATTGTCTTTTTTTCATTATTAAAACCAGTTGGATCCAATATATCAATTGGATCGAATTGGATTGGATCCTAAAATATAACTAAATCGGATTGGACTGGAAAATCTATATCCCACCTATATTGGATCGAATTTGAATTGGCCAAATTATATCGGTTTTGAATCGAGGACACCCCTAGAAGAAATTTTTAAAATGGGAGGGAGAGCGAGAGGGCATTACTCTTTATCAAAAATTCTTAAATGAGATCTTGAAAATGGATTCAAGGGTCCTATAAATAGGAAGATAGAAACCAAGAAAAACAATATAAAAATCAAAAATCTGTCATGGATTGTATATGCTGATATGGAAATATGATCAAAGGAGATAAGTCAATATTGGATCCTACATCAGAGACTAATTGAAATTGTTCAAGGATTAAAATCCAATTTTCTCACTAGTAAAAAATGAAATCACTTTTTTCTTTTTGGTTATTGAACTGATTGGTTTCTACGTAACAAGCGGTCCCTAATTAACTATATGCATAAGTTTTTTAGCTCTACATTTTAAGATTCAAAAATAGAAACTGTTAAATTTGTGTATTATCGTACCAGATTATCTAGCTTCTTTTAGATATTTAGACCTCGGCATCCATATTGGTCAAAAAATAGATCAATGACCACAAAATCGTAAAAACAACAATCACACACAAGAATAAGGGTCTCGAAGGCTGAGAGAGAGAGAGAGAGAGAGAGAGAGAGAGATCCCTTTATGATGATGGGGAGGCCACATACATGGTTTTCATGTCCGATAAGGGAGACCCGAAACTTGGTGTAAACACTATCAAACCAAAAACACAATGAAATATAGCAACAGTTGTGGAACAGAATCAAATAATACATATACTGTGTTTCTTTTACACATAGTTGGGATTTATTCTTGGCAGCAGCCACCCCTTTTACAATATAATAATGGTAACTGAAATAATGAAGGAAATTTGAATGAAAACTTCTGTATTTATACAGCTGCAAAAGGAGCAAGCATATTTACAAATACCCCATTATATTCCCAACAATAAATAAACATTATATTTAGAACCCTGCTGCAGAATTCTTCACTTGTTCCCTTTCTTTTTCCCACCTTTTCCGACAATCACCTGAAGATTTGGAAACGAGGAACCATTCTGAGAAGGCTTCTTCGGAGGAGGACCATTGCTAGGCCAAAGGGCTTTAGTGACGTCGGGATTCTTAGAAGACATATTGATGCTTTTCGTTATGCTTTTTTGCGTCGGTATTCTTTCTGGTTATGCTTTTCGTTTGCCTTTTTGCGTCGGTATTTATAGCCCTAGCTAGTATCCTACCAGTTAGTTTCCACTCAATTACGAAGAAAGAAAGTAACAATTAAGATCCAATCAACTCAAATTTTTTTTAAAAAATCTCCGTTGCTATATAATAATATCCTACAACATGTTATCTTTGTGTTAAATTGGTTTCAGACTTTGCATTGCAGTTCAACAGAAGGGCGTTTGATCAAACCTTTGATTGTTGAATCGCAATGCGGTTGCTTGGAGCAGTGGTTTACTCGTCGTGAACAACGCACACATTCCGGGAAAATGAAAATAAAATTTTGACTGGGATTTTTTAATGATAATATTACTTGGAATTTGGCGTTGGATTTACATTACATTTTCATTTCAATCTTTTTTCCCCGTTCTTTCTCAACTTCCCTATGTGATTATTAATTTCCCTTCTGTAAATATTGACTTTTAAAACCGTCTGTAAGAAAATGATGACAGAAATGCTTACACATGTACAAAAGCATCATGGATCGAAACCCTGAAAACCAAGAAAACGTCAAGGCCGACCGAAAAATAATATTCCCAGAAACTGCAGATCGAAGAGCCACACGATATGTCATATATAAAAAGGTGGCGTGCATGCATGCAGTCAAGTGACTCAAGTCATTTTATGTGGAATGTAAAAAAAAATGACACTGAATTAGCCATGTTTAATTTGTGCACACTCATTTTCGTGGTATTTTCTGAGAAGATACTAATTTGAATTATCACATGCATGACTGTATATTCAATCTTTGAATATTTAAGAATCAATCCCTTGTGCTAATAGCTTTCCTAAAACTGGAAATTCTCTTTGCCCCCCTGCCTGGCTGCAAGAGGATTTGGTATGAGTTTAGGTGGAAGTTACATAGTTAATTAGAGGTCTCCAAATGTAAAAGCGTGTTGACATATATATATATATATACACACATATGTAATCTTGGTTTGTCACAGCGAGGAAAATGTTACGGGTTTCGTCTAAGATTAATTTTCGTCTAAGACTAAAATTAATTATATGATAAATATTCTATGTCATAATCAGAACCGGTAATTTTTAGCATAAAATCCTTAATGGACTTTCCCATTTTAATTTCAATTCAATTATACTCTTAGGGCATGTTTGTTACACCGTACAAGCATGGACTGGCTTGGCTAAGATTTTATCCCACGTTTGTTTCACTCGGTTCTAATTTTAAGTGGGATTAACTAATACGGGCCCTACCAAAATCACCTCCTTAGGTGTTCGTAGAGAAACCCGTCTGGAGAGGATGGACTAACAGTCCCGACCCAAGCGTCGAGCAACCAACCCAACCCATGCTCCCCACAACCAGGGACCCCACAAGCAGTAGGCACAACCACCCAAGAAGGAGAAGACAAAATAGAAGAGGAAGAGAAGAGAGAAGATACAATTTATTAAAAAAAACAAAACAAAACAAAACAAAACAAAAAAAAGAGGAGAAGGAGAAGACATAATAGAAGAGGAAGATCAAAAAAATTTCGAAAATAAAATGAAAGGACAAGGAGAAGACATAATAGAAGAGGAAGAACATAAAAATTTAGAAAGAAAAAAAAAAGAGAAGGAGAAGATAGAATAGAAGAGGAATAAGAGAGAAAGAGAAGAGAAAATTTTCGAAAAAAAATGAAGAGAAAAATAGACAGAAGAAGAGGAGAGAGGATGCAGACGAAGAAGATGAAAGAGATGCAGAGAGGAAGAA